GTTAAAACTCAATTATTTTTTAATCAGAGCCTATAACTTAACTGTAAATTGGTTAATTAGTGTACAAGAATCGTTAATTTCGTTATGTATATTATGGATTTTCTGAAACTGCATAATATTTTAGTAGTCATTTTTTTAGCTTAGTGAAAAATGCTGTAAAGTTAGCGAACGAATATAGTATCTGACATACATAAAAGAATCGAATTTATAGGTTTTAACAGATCTTTCCACTTTTAAATTTGAAAGACTAATAAAATTCGAGACAGAATATCAATCTCTCTGGAGTGTACTTTACAATTCCGGAGAGGTTTATATTGTTACATGAAAGACATTTGCGTAAATTTTCTTTTTCTTTCGTCGAGTTAATGTGCCAAACGAATAAAAGTTTCAGATTAAAACAAATAGGATAAAAACAATGCATTTAATCGTAGCACATTTTGTATTATATTAAAAGTAATCGGTTTCGTACCATTTAACTTTTCAAGAAATAGAACCATAGTCGATAGTTTGGATTTTACTGTAAAGCAACGATGCGTGCATATCATGCTCTCTTCTAGGGGAACGAATGCACTTTTAATCAGTACGTAGGTTAAATTAATAGTTTGCCATTTAAAGCTGAATTCTCAAACAAAAAAAAAACTGTGCATTTAATATAAAGCAAGTCTGAATTAAAGCTGATAAAATTGTCTGTTGTTTTATTAATGGGATATTGCATTAATGAGTTAAAATCCTAATGACCTTGTTAGGTTAAAAACAGAGAAAACGTTTTTTTCTTACTATACCTTATGTTTATATATAAAGTATAAAAGAGATAGTTGTTTTAATAATTATTATTAGAAAATTTAAAATGCAATTGCATGTCTTCAAAGGATTACATTTGAAATTTTTAAAAAATATACAGTATTAGCAAAATTAAAATAAATATTTAAACTTGAAAAAATTCATAGAATAATTGTTCATAAGATTAATTATAGAAAATATAAACAATTTTTTAAAATTAAATGTTAAGAAAGACAATTTATAAAATGCCAATGAGTTGCATATAAGTATTTGTTACAAAATTGCAATGTCTAATCATTCATCATTTTCAATATTGCTGATTGGGGGAACTGGCTCCTGTCAAATAGCTGTGTTTGTCTCCTTGAATTTTTCTTTTTCATTCAGAATATAAACAAAGTTCTCTCCTATGCTTTTGATAAATATATTTTTGTAAATATATGAAAATTTAAATAAATTGTTTATTCATAGAATAAGAAATTTTTCATATTTAATTTATTTCTTGTATAATTTTTAACAATAGCTATTGTTTGTAAAGAAGTTAATATTTTTAAGTTATTAAATTTGTTAGAATTAAATTATATACATATAGATGGTTTCAAGAAATATTTCAGATAAAATATTTGATCATAAATCATCTCATCTAATTTATTAATTACTTATATGAATCAAAATTGTTTTACATTGAAATAAACGATTTTTAATAATAATAATCTATTCAAGTTTCTCAGTGATATTTTGATAGGTTTTAAAATAATACATTATTTTATTATTAATATTTGTTATTTTAATGATAATTAAACTGAAAATATTATATATAATTTCTGAAAGTGAAGTATTTTATTGTGTCTTATATTTTAAAATAGAATATATTTCCAAGCATTTCATTTGTGTTCATAGTGAATAACATTTTTGTTTGATAGCCAGTAAATTGACATTGCAATTAATGTTCTCTAGTCAAATTAGACTAGAGTTTTTTCTTCAATACTAGCTAGAATTCTATCTACATTTCTTTCATTCTGTCTCTTATCTATCCAGGGATAAGTCAACTGGTATGTATTGACCATATACCTTTAGGAATAAAAGTGTGGTCATCATTAGAGTTTATGACACATGGTCCTTTTTGCATGTCAAAAGTTTCAAGTCCTTAAAAAGTATCATTTTACTTTTTTTAAATACTTATTTGAGAGAAAGAGAGAAAATATTTGATATAAAACTGTTTTGTTTCTTTACCTGTTTATTTTAGTTTATACACTTTTATGAGCCCTCTTATATCAGATTTTTAAAGTTCAGGTAAAAGTAATTAAAGTAAAGGAGTTTTAAATTTGTTTCCAAGCCATTTTATAAGTTATTGTTTTCTGTTTTACTCTAATAATCATATATTATATACAGTGGAACCCCGTTTATTCAGATCCTGTTAATTTGGATTTCTGGTTTACCTAGATTATAGAACATAATCTCTGTCTCAGAAAGATAGACATACAGAAAACGTATAAATGTAAAAAATCAAAGAATTCCTAATTACATTCTGGCCTGAGTGTAAAAAGGATAGATTTGTTTCCTATGAATCGGCATATGATGTTCATTGTTATGAATTCCGAGGGAGTTTTCTTTGAATTTACTTAATATTTTGTTGAACCTTTTCTAATCTTTTAAGATTTTCAATTTTAATAAATTGCTACTTTCCTGTTGAATAAAAATGTTGTGCTTCTCATGGTAGTCAACATGGTAATTAATAAGTTTATTGTTTGTAACCTTGTGAATTATTGTTCACTCAACACTCTAAAGCATCTATTGTTTTGCTGAGTTTCACTCATCTCCAAACATTTGTGAAATAAAGTAAACACAATGAAAATAACATCTAAAGGAAAGAAAGTAGTTGTTCTGTTGGCCTATAGATATATAAAATAAAAAGTCTTTAAATAGTTTTATGTTGTTAATAACTTTTCTGGATTTTCGGTCATCCGAATCAGATCCAAGCTTATTTGAGCCAGATAAATGGGATTCCATTTTAGATTTAAAAGCAAAACCTCATTTGTGGAAGATTGAGATAAGTCAATGTTCAATTCTTTTTTATTTACTTTAATTCCAGGATAAAATGAAAAATTAAAATAATAAAATTAATAACTTTATTATCATTATTATTAAATTTCAGTCTTAATAGTTCCTTTTTTTAAATTTTATTTTAATATAAATGAAATATTTCAATGTCAATATTTAAATTTAATATTAGATTATTTGATAAAATTTAAATAGGCTTTTATTATTTTTAATGAATTCAGAAAAAGATCACTATTAGTTATTTAATATTTTTGGAAACTGCATTTAAATATTCTACTAAAATTTGTGTGACAATAGTAATGAGTGGTTAAATATCTAAGTTTAAAAAAAGTTCTCTCTCTTTCCATTCTGTGTGCACTAGGGTTTCTCAAACGGGATTCCCGGTTGTTTTTTTAACCCAAGAAATTTTTCTTATCCCGGGAAATCCCACAAATTTCTTAAAAATTCACTTTTTTTCTTATTTTGTGTTAAGGTTGTGGAATTTTGCAAATAGAAAGCATAATTAACTCATTTGCTGTCAGAATACATTTTGTATTTATTAATTTTAAACCTACCTATTAGTATTTTTAAATTTTTGCTCATTATGGCATGTCACAAATGGTCAGTAATCAATACGTAGCTTATCTGTGGCAGGACTCTGAAAATTCTTTACTTGTCAGAACCTGTAATATAAGGAATAATTGTGCTTATGCTGTCTTAATTTTTAACTATTCCCAGTAGCTTCAATAAATGCATAACGCCAAGTTGTGCAAATTGGGCAAGGATACAAACGAGTATGAAGTCTGCAAGTATAAAGTTTATCTTCATAAAACTGATTATTAAAGCCATACAAATTGCCGAATTATCGGGCTATAAGCTTGATGCTGCTATTAAAGCAGCCGAGATAGACAAATCGAGAATACTAGAGAGCAAAAGAAGTACTACAATCTCGAAAACAAACTCGAAATATTCCAGGCTACAGGTGAAAAAACATATAATATCTGTCTTCTCTTAAATGCATTAAACGCAATTCCAGTCACATCAATTGAATTGGAAAGGGCATTCTCGGTAGCAAGACTTTTCATTACTAAAATAAGAATTAGAGCGAGTGATCGGAGTATTGACCATCTTTGCTTTTTAAAATCTTATAAAAGTTTACAATATTTTGTATTATATTTTATTTAAAAAACGAAAATTACCTTCTAAGTTATAAGTTTGATCTAAGTTTCATTTTTTTTTAATTTTTAACTCAATTCAAAGCATTTTTTTTTTGTTTTTGTTGTTGTATGCAGTTTCCAGCAAACTTTAATAAATTTTTTTATATTTGTGAAAATTTCTACGTAATTCAAAGGTAATTTTTATTATATATCTTACACAGCATTATTAATATGATTTTGGATGTTACAGAACTTTAAAATTACTTTAAAAAATGAAAAATAATTATATCATTTGATTTCAAGATATTTTGTATACCTTAAAAATAATTAATTCTATCCTGGGATTTCGCGGGATCCCGGGAAACAGTTCACTTTTATCCTGGAATCCCAGGACAAGCAAAAGACCGGGAAATGAGAAACCCTAGTGTGCACTAAGAGAGCTGTTTTTTCAAACACAACATGGATTTGGCTAGGCTCAAGAAAAGTTCCTTGAGTTCAATTCTGGACTCCCATTGAACCCTTTACTGTTCTGACTGTCTGGCTGGAGAGTAAAATTTTAATTTTGTTTATATTTAATTTTCATATTGATGTTTTAAGTATTATTTTGTTTAATTTTTTAAGGTTTGAATTGATATGAAAATGTTAAAGAATATAGATATTATTAGTAATTTTACTGATTTATATATATTTTTTAACTATTGAATTTTAAATTAAATCTACCTTTTTCAACAACTATTTCAGTTGAATAAAACTTGCAAATTATATTATTTCTTTTTACCTTTAATTTAAATGCTATATGATGGTAAATAAGTAAATACACACACATATCTTATGCACACTATTTTTTTGATATGATTAAAGGATTTAAACTAATGGTTTCAAGGAAGGAGAAAAATTTAAGATTAAAATTTATTGAATGATGACTATTTTATAATATTCATATGATAAATATTTGTATATTTAAATATATTTTATATTTAATTTTAAAATTATATAAATTTTTATGAATACATTTTAATTTTTCAGGTACTTTAATAAAATGATTATTGTTAATCATCAGTTCTTCAAGAAGTGTACAAAGAATGGAGCAAAATGATTCTTATGTATAATACAAGAAAGTTTTTGTGAAATTGCCTAATAAGAAAATAAAATGACTTTAAAAGGTCTATAAAAGTGGCACACAGTGTCACATTTAGGCATGGTGATAGAACTTTTTTGGCGTCGTCGTCAAGTGCTGAGTACTGGTATATTCAGATGTCATGTAAACCAACCAACAATCAGACGTTGGTTGTTGATTGCTCTGAGTTTAACTGTTTTTTCTTTACTTGTATTTTCATATTATCTTTCCAATTTTCATTTTCATAGGTAAGTTTTGTTAGATAATTTAAAATTATAAAAATATTTAAAGAGTTTGGTTTTTTCATTTTTTCAATAAAAAATAAAATATGTACTTTTAGTTTTATTCATGTACCAAGACAGCCAATATTTCATTGCCGCTCTCAGTCTGAACATTTATACGGACAGACACATCCATCTTTAGTTAATGCTCATGTTTCTAGTGCACAATTACGGCTTGATTCAAAAGTTTTAGTATTTGTTGAAACACAATATTCTCATTTGGGAAGACAAATTTGTGAGATATTGGAAGCAAGCCGCATTAAGTAAGTGATGCATTCTTCATTTTTACAATTTATTATAAATTCATTTTTATTTTATTTTTAAGGAAAAATAAATTTGAAATACGTTGCTGTTTTTTATTTTATTGTTATCTTTTGTTTTTTAAAACAAAATATCAAAAAATTGTTGTTCTAAATATATATAGAATATTTATTATTATTGGCTCACATTTCTTACTTTATAAACTTTTTATTTTTAAAAGTATCTTTAATTACAGGATGCATTATGCAAATCAGAATTAAAAATTATTGATTTATGTATATAAATATTAGAGATTTAATTAAAAAATATAAATAATTTGTCAGTTTGTATGATTGGAGAACAAATTTATATTTTATCTATAAATGCTGCAATATTATTATTTAAATTTTACTGTTTCTAATCATCAGGAAGATTATAAAATACTCATACATAAATAAAAATTATATGTGAGTAGTTAATAATTGAAAAATTTATAATAGATGAATTAATTTATTAAACTTGTGTTTTAATGATAAAATAGGAAATAACTAATTCTCCTAGATTATTTTCTTTCTTTTTTCATTATATTGTTGTTAATCTGATACATGCTAGTTTAGTCATTTGTTTTATATTTACACATACATTTGAAGAATTAGATGCTCATTTCTAATTTATTTTTCAAACAGTAAATTCGTATTCCATTTTGAGGTAATTATTCTTGTCAATTTTTATTTATGAAGATTTATTATTGAAAGATTTGTAATTAGTAAAATTTAAAATTTTTTATTTTAAGTTTAAAATAATTGTATTATTTAATTTCTTAAATGTACATTTAAAATAGAACTGTTATTATTTTTAATCCTTAAAGAGTTTTCAATACAATAATAATAATGATTTCAATATAATTATGAAAATATTTTAAAAATCTTAGATATTATTTAATCTGAAATTTTACATTGTCTTAATTTCTTTTTCAATCCAATACATATTATTCTTCAATTATTTTATAGTTGAATGCATTAAATTGATTTATTAATATAACAAATATTAAAATATAATAAAATNAGAGAAAATTTTATTTAAAATCATGAATGAATAAAACATTAATTGGTTCAAAATGATAGGAAATTAAATTTTTTTACGGGTTGATCAACAATTCTCTGTTATACTTGGTTCTAAAGTCTTACCAGAATAATGGTTTTGCTGTATCAAGTGAGATCACATAATAAATATAATTAATGATTCAAGATAATAAGTCAACAGTATATGACTTACATATTGTTAACAGTCCATAATGCTTTATAAACATGAATTAAACATATATTAAATTTGGACTGGTAGTGTTCTTGATACACTGACACTTGAATCATTTTTACCAATTTATCTTAGATTTTTTTTAGTTATAACCTAAACTTGCATAAAATAGTGGAGTCACTAGCAACTACATGTAGATAATCCTGATGAATGCAAGCTCAAGTAATGCTGTTTGTGGTTATTAAATGAACTAGTCTGTCAGCAGTTTTAAATGATTTTCATAATTTTGTTCCAGTTAAATCTGCAAAATTCAGTAAATAATAAAAAGTTGCTTTTGAAATGTGTGTTGGTTATAAAAAATTTAAATTAGAAACATTAATTGTATTTCTAATAAGAATGTTTAAATTTTTAAAAAAAACATGAACAGAAATATTAATTTTTAACAGAATTTTATGATAAAAAATTGCACAAAAATAAATTGAAGTGAAAACTGCAATAGCTGATTTACAAATATAGTCAATGTTCTCACTTTATGAATGTTTTAGTTTATAGACTGAGAATAGTGAGTATATATGTAAATATTTGTATTATTATGCATTACATTTTGACTATATACTGTATACATTAATATACTACTACTGAAATTTCTTGTTTAGTATCGGAATTTTTTGTTTATTCTTTCACTGTATCATTTTCAATAATCAAATTTTTATCATCTGATTCTAACATTTGCTGTAATTCTTCAACATCCATCAAATTGTCAATTCTATATGTGATATTTTCCATTTTCAAATAGAAAACCATAAAGTATCTGAAAAGAAATCCAGCAAGAAGTTGCTTAACTTTCCCAGCAACATTTGGTGGCACCATCTGTTATCATATTTTATTAAAAAACTTAATTTTTAATTATTATAAAATGGCAAAAAGCTTAATTAAATTAATAATTTATATTTTTAAAAACAAATTTAAGTAAATATCATTTTTATTTTCTTAATTTTAGATTTAAAATTGAAATTGCTGGGAAAAGCCTTCCATTGCTAACTAATCTTGATAAAGGAAAATTTGCAGTTATTGTTTTTGAAAATCTTGAAAAATATCTTGGTATGAACAAATGGAACAAAGAATTATTAGATAAATATTGTAGAGAATATAATGTTGGTGTTATTGGTTTTATTCGTCCAAATGAAGATAGCATGGTTGGAGCTCAGTTAAAAGGTTTATACTTAATGGCATTAATTATATTTTTGAATTTGTTTTTGGAAGTCTGAAATTCTAAATTTATATTTTATAGGGTTTCCTTTGTATATTCACACTAATCTTGCCATTAGAGAATACGAATTAAATCCTCATTCTGAAGTCCTTCGTCTTACGCGTGCTGGTGAAATATATACAGGAGTTTTGCCAGGTGAAGATTGGACCATATTTCAAACAAATCACTCTACTTATGAGCCCTTGGCTATTGCAAGATCACAATCATTTAATTCTATTGCTGATGGTTTAAATTCTGCACTTATTACAGTGATTCAGGTAAGAAAATGCTAAAATTATTATATTTGTATTTGTGATATATATATATATATATTTATAATAATTGATATTTTATATAAGGATCATGGACAGTATGATGGAATTCAAAGAATTTTGTTTGGCTATGATTTTAAATTTTGGCTACACAAAATTCTTTTTTTGGATTCAGTTTCTTATTTATCTCATGGAAAATTGAGTTTGCCTCTACAGCGCTTTCTTCTTATTGACATTGATGATATATTTGTTGGTGAGAAAAGTACCAGAATGAAACCTGCAGATGTTCAGGTAATCAAATTTCTATAATAAATACTAGTATAAATTTTTTAATTGCATAGTTTTATTTTTACTAATTATAAATTGTTGATTATTTAGTATTTTAAAATAAATATAAATAAAGTGTAATACTAATTTCTACTTAATTTAAAAGTTTTGTAATCTTTTTGTAAGGAAAAGATTTTTTGTTGAGACAATATTTCATCTGGGAATTCTTTTTCTTTTGCTTTCTTTTTCACTTAGTTACATAAAACATGATCTATATATTGTTACAAGACAATGCACTTTACTAGGAATTCAGAACTCAGTTTTAGGTAGAAAGTAAAAAGAAATAAGTTAAATCACTTGGGAAAAATTTTGTAAAGAATGGATCTATTATTTCATTATAAATGGTAGGAAGACAACAGGTTTTTAATAAATTACTGCAATTTTATTTGTGTTTTATCATTTAATCTCACTAATTTTTATAAAATTTCTGTTTGATCAATTAAAAATTAAAAAATAATTTTGATATTTATTAACAGTAATCTTATTGTTTTTCAAGTTGTTATATAATATATACAAAAAAAAAACAATATATTTCACATTTCTTATATATTGTATTGATTAGTTTTTCATTTCATTTAATAAGTAATATAATTAATATAAATTAAAATGAAAATCTTAAATTTATTGGCCAAGATACTTTTAGTTTATTGTACACATACAATTTTTAATCATGTAAAAAGTGTAAATTCTCCATATATATGTAGTAATATTATAATAGTTTATCTTAAGAGATGAAAAAAAGCAGTTTGCTTTTTTTGTGCTATTTTTTTTAATGAAAAATGAGTATATTTTTTGAAAAATATAAGGAATTATTGCAAAAAAAAAACTAAGTTTAAAGGCTTTTAAAAGTAGTTTCCTGTAAGAAAAATTACCTCTAAGGGAAATATTAGAATTTATATATAATGACCTTAGTCTTTTCAAATGAAGAATGTTGAATGATTATCATCACTCAATTTATTGCATTATGTAAAAGTATTGCTCAATTTTCTTGAAATTCATAATTCATATTCTGAATGAAGATATCTTTTTACCTAGTGAAAAAATGAATTGATGTATTATTATATAATTCTTTAATTTCAATTAAATTAAATTATATAATATATATAGTTTAAACTAAAGTGAAAATTCCTCAAAATTCATTCATTATATGCTTATGCAGTTAGAATTACAATGAAACTAAGTGAAGATAATTTTCAGTGCTACACTAAAAAATCTGTAGGTTATGAAAAAAAGTTAAAAAAAGGCACTTGTTGGACCACAAAAGTGAATTGAATGGACTGAAAATTCATCTTCTGGTATATATAATAGAAACCTTATTATATATTAAATTGATATTTCCATCATAAAAAATAGGCTAGCTCATAATTAAAAAGAGAATACAAAGACTTAACAAAAAGACAAGCCAGTGCTTGAAATCAGTTTTTTGTTTAATGTTTTAACCTGAAAACTACCTGAGATTATGGAACAATAAAAATCATATATGAATTAATTGCAGATGTAATTAGAATAAAATAAACTTTAGAATAATCTTAATTTTAATTACTACATCTGAAATAATATATAAATAACTACAAATATTAATTTTAGATGAAAAAGGATCACTCTATATACCAAATTTCACCTTTTATAGAACTTTTAGTTTGCTGATTAGTTCTTCTATTACTCATTTAAAGAAGTTTTTGTATTCATTTCCAACATAAAATATGAATAATATTGTATGTTTGAACTGAAATCTTTTTCTTTTAAAAACTATAAAAGTTATTTACATCTTCCTAAATTTTATTTTAATTCATAGATGCTTGAAGGTCTGTTTTATTATTACTACATTATTTTCCCTATTATTGTATCCAAATACATTTCAGATTGTTAATAGAAAAATATCCTAGTTTTCCATTTTGTTGATAATTTTATAAATTTTAAAACTGCCCAAATGCTAATTTAAGAACCAAGAAAAATATATCTGGTAATCCACACTAGTATATGAGACCACATCTTGTAACAGGATCAATATATAAAAGTACTTGTAAGAAGTCTGTTGCAGTAGATTAATAATTGATTTTTTAAAAAGAATGCGATTTTATATATATCATAAAAAGTTCTTTGCCATAAAGACAAATTTGTGTTTGAAAGTGTGATAAAAACATTTGATCTGAGAATAATCTAGAAATGGAGAACTTATAAGCAATAGTCAATGTTTAAATAATTTATTATTTTTTTTAAGTTTAATACACAGTTCAAAAACTTTTCTAAATAAATATTTAAATTTTTAAATAAAATATTGGATAAAATCTATTAAATGTTATTTCATCAAGTATGAATGAAAATAAAACTACATAAAATTAATTAAAACACTAAATAATGTAATGAATGTAATATGAAAATAATATAAAGTATTTTCAAATTTTATAAGTCAGAAATTTCAATAGAAAATTTATTATAAATATTTAAAAATTAATTTGGGGTTTTTAAAGTAAGGATAGTAATTTATTTCTTCATAATTAGGTCAATATGTTTTACTCATTTAAATTATATTTAATATTTACAAAGCAATTTTTGTAGCCTATTTTTGTTCTTAAATTGTAATCTTTATTTCTAAAAACTGAGCAAATTGCAAAATAGTAAATTTATTTATTTTAAAATTTCAAAATGAATGGAAATTTCTCAAACAGACTTAATTTGTAAATAATCACATTCACAAATAAAGTTATATTTAAACATTATATATACATGTATAAATTATTTTAGATCATTTATTTAATTTCTATATGATACCTAATATGTTGTTCATGCACATTTACACATATGAACATTCAGTTTGTATTTGATTTAATATATAATTTTTATACAGAACCAATTTTTTATTCTTACATAATATTGGAAGTAACAACTTAATTTTAAAAAATTTATTTTGTTAAAAATAGAATAATTATTTTATTTTAACTTCCAAGATTGTGTAAGAAAAAAATAAAAACAAAATTTTTTTCTTTCAAACTCTTGTGTTGACATAAACTTTCGAAAAAATTCATAAGATTTACATCCAAAAATATCTTGTCAGTAAACGTATGTTATACTTTAGATTTGTTGACCTACTTTACAATTTTTTTTTATATTAGAAAATTTGAGTTAATTGTAATAAGTTTTTGTAATTTCTACCTTATTATTTTGAACATAAAAAATTTATTTAAATTTTAATGTTAAATATATTCAAAATTTATTTGAAAATATACTTTTCACTATAATTTAATGCAGTGAAAATAATTTTGTAATGAATGTGTTTATCTTATTTATAATTTTTATTTTTACTTAGAGGATTTATTGGTGTTTTTTACAAAATATGATTTTAAAATTAAAATAATTTTCTAAAGTAAAAAATAGTATGTAAAAAAGAAATCATATATTTAATATTAACTAGAGATAAAATTTAAGTCAAAGATAAAAAGTAGATGCACTTGTATACTAACTGTAGAAATTAAATTAAAATAACTGATAATTAGTATGATGTACATAAATATATTTTAACTTGTACCAATATGTTATTATTTGTTTCATTTCACTCATAAACATTCAATTGCCACTTTTATTAGCTTGTTTTTAATAGTAATAATACATCTTTTATTATAAATAATAATCCTTTGTATATTTTCAATATATATTGTTTGCTAAGAAAGTTTTCAACAAAATCCTTCAGAAATGTTTATATAATCTTATAGAGAAGAAAAAAATGAATGTTTTTTTTTTTTTGCTTTAAATTTATTTCTATTTTTAAAATTTTGCTGGATGTAAAATTTATTTACTTGAATTAAATACATGCAAGTACTTTAAACATTCATATCCTCCATTGACCTTGCAAAAAATGTATTAGAAAATAATTTTTCACTACTATGGGCACATACTTCCATTCTTAAGCAGTGTTTAGATCATAGAACCCTTTTCATATGGGAGTCATTATACATAGCTTAATTAAAATCCTGCAACTCTCCCAAAATCCCTGATGTATGGATAACACTTCACAAAAACTTGTCCAATAATTACGATTTTATAAAGTGTTATCCATATATTGATATATTGACAACTGTTGATGCATTAGTGTAAATAATCTAATTAGTGCAATTAATAAATGTGATATGTATATTCATGTTTTGTGAAAAAGTATTTTCTATAAAAACAAAAAATGCAATTATTATAATAATTTTTCATATGCTTTATACAGATTGAAATTTTATATATTCAAATAATGTAAAATAACTTTTATATAAAAGTATCATCATAACACACATACACACTTTTTGGTATTTCCATGATTATTATAGCATTGGTCACATATATATTTGATAATAATTTACAAATATATTTTTATATAATTACTATAAGAAAATTCTTAGTATTATTAAAATGTAGATATAGAAAATACATAACTACACTTCTGTATAAATATATTTTATATTTAATTTATAGGCACTGCTAGATGCTCAAGAAAGATTTCAGCTTATTATTCCAGGATTTCGTTTTAATTTAGGTTTTTCAGGAAAATTTTATCACAAAGGAACTGATGAAGAAAATAGAGGGGATGATATGCTTTTAGGTAAATATTGTAAATTATTCAGATATATATAAAATGAAATTGTTGATGAATTGTTTATTTTTAAATAGAAAATGCTGAGAAATTTTGGTGGTTTTGTCATATGTGGAGTCATAGTCAACCACATTTATTTGATAATATTACTTCTTTGGAAGTTGAAATGAGACTTAACAGAGATTTTGCCAAGGTAATATGTGTTTGATTTTTATTTTAAATATTTATACTATTCTGATATACATAAAATATTGCAAATTAAATACTTTACAGAAGCATGGAATTCCAATGGATTCAGGTTATTCAATAGCACCGCATCATTCAGGAGTGTATCCAGTTCATGGTCAATTATATGATGCTTGGAAAAGGATTTGGAATGTGAAAGTTACAAGTACAGAAGAATATCCACATTTAAGGCCTGCAAGATTAAGAAGAGGATTTATTCATAGAAATATTATGGTAAGTGATTATAATAACAGTAAAAAATTTGATGTATGCTAATAATATATTATAGTGTTGATGTAATATATAACATTGTATATAATATCAGGTAATATTCTTATATTATCAACTCATCTTAAAACCATCACCAATAAAGCAAGTTTTGTTGTTACTCTGGAACATCATTGTCACAAAATTAATTTTCACACAATAAAGCAAACAAAAATCAGAATTCGTTAAATCAAACTAAATTACCTTCACAAATCCCAAGAGTTGTGAAGGTAATTTAGGCAAATCCTATTTCTAATAATGGTTGTTTTTACACTTTTTTCAATATGAACAATAAAAGTGGTACTGTAATAAACATTCGATTTTGAGTAGAATAGATTTTCTTCTCATAGTAAGCAAAGACAGGTTTGACCTTTCATTGTAGAAAGCAATTCAAATATCTGTACTATAGCAGTCCATTAGCAGACTATTCTACTATACTCAAAATATAGGAGTTAAAGTTGAATAATGCCCATCCCTTTAGATGGATATGGTCCCATATAAACATGTGTTAGTTTGTTTCTTGGGGAATGCATACAGTGATGCCAGGTTTGGTTCTTTTTATACTCTTTTGGTACCAAAAGATATTTTCTACTTTTTCAAATAATCTTCATCAGAAAAAAAAAAGATTTCTTTTAGCTTTGTTTGTTTTGTTTTGTTTAACCACTCTGATATACTCTTTCACACTTAAACAGCAAATATTCATCTCATTATTTTGTTTGACTTGAAAATCATTTAGACCATTAATTCGTTTTTGTAAATAAATTTTAACTTTATTTAGTAAATTAAAAATTATTATTTTGAATTAGAGATTTTGATTGTCTATTATGTCTTAACTCCCTAAATTATATAACCTTGGTCTTGACCCTGAAAATCATTAATATGAATTTTCAATAAAGTGAACTAACTACTGTTCCATTAACAATTTGTATTAATATGACTTGAAGGTATCAAATTTATATATTATATAAATCTATATATTATATAAATTTGATATTTGTTACTGTTAATGTAAAGTTAACATATATATTGGGTGATCGGTTAATGAACATAATCCATTCCAAGACAATGTTCGCTATCTGAATTGTTCGTTAACTGATTATTGATTTACCATAGATTTTTGTGGGAATTTGATTAATTTGTTCTGGAGACCCCAAAAACATAGTAAGAAAGTATATACTCTATTTACTCACATATAAGACAATCTTGCATATAGGATGAGGTGTGACTTTAAAAATCAAAATAAAGAAAATTAGATTTATTAATACAATTCTAATTTTATTTTGTTTAATCACAAATAAAATATCAAATGCACGTATATGCACACACTGTCCCACAAAAATTACTGGCATTTTAAACGTCAAGGAAAAATCTTGTAAAATCGACAACATAATTTGTTCATGTAAAGCTGGACAATTGTTAACAGTCGAATTCACTCTTCGTTGATTACACATATGAATTTCTCCAAATTCTGATTTCCAAATAGTCATCTGTTTTCATGTGGGATGAATTAAACTTATATTGAGCTCCTGTGTAATTTTGGAATTGATTTCAAAAGCTTTGCTTTTCTTATTGCTATTCATCTTTACTCCTGACAATACACAAGAACAATTCAAACAACCCAGATAAAATACTTTTGTTTTTAAACACCAGAAGGTGAGAATTTAGTAAAAATGCAAATACACAGTTTGTTTTCATTTTTGCAATAATTTATGTAATCTTTCACTTATATGTATAGAATGACCTAGGTTAAGCAGTGAAAAATGAATAAAAACCTTGTCTTTACTGTATTTACTCAAATACAGTAATTTTTTATTTATATTTGTTTACATGTAATAAACTAAAAGCAAATCTCTCCATTTTTGTATGGATGGCACATTTTTATTCTCAGATGCGATTTTCGTTACTCCTTTATCTGCTTGAGTTTTTTTATCATATCTTTCTTAGTAAAGATTATATCTATTGTAGACCTGTTGAAGTCATCTGCCTACAATATCAGACATCATCTGCCCACTCTCTATCTTGGCTATTATCTCTTGCTTAGTTTCTATAGTGAACACAGTTCTTAACACTCCACTCTTTTTAGGCCCCATAATATCAGCTTTTTAAAAATTATTGGGCTGCAATTTGAAAAAAAAATTGTAGACCTATAAATTTCAACTTTTGTCTGCCTGTCTGTTTTTCTATCTGTCTTTCCTTAATCTTAAGAAAGGAGTTAGATGAAAGTCCAGATTAGATATCAAAAGCTTAGGGGTAGGAGGCCCAGATTAACTATTTACAAACCTCCAGTTTGGACCAGAAGTCACATTACTTCAGTTTAAAATTTTCCCCTGAATGGAGATAGATAGATGACTGGCTAACAGGAAAAATATAATGTACAGTGGCAAGACACCACTAAAAGAATTGAGAATATTGTGACAATGTCACAGCAAATAATCATTTGATAGAATTAGTTTAGTTTATATGGTTACAGTGATCTCCCAGGAAGACTTATGAGATACTTTCAATTCCACACAGGCAAGTGCTATATGCTACTTGTCGCAGTAATGATATAGCACAAAATAGATGCGCTATATCATTATTGCAATGATGAAGTGAATATAATACAAAAACATAATTTTAAAAATTTATATAAGAATTATATTTAGTTTATTATTTTAAAAAGTTTTTGATAGATGCCACACCATGTAAACTAGCAAATTGAATCATACCATCAATTTCATTTTATATAGGTTTTGCCACGACAAACTTGTGGTCTTTATACACACACAATATTTATGGATAAATATCCAGGTGGGTCAGAGAAACTGGAAACTAGTATTCAAGGCGGTGAATTGTTTTATTTGTTTGTATATAACCCTGTAAGTATTTACTTTACAAATATAATTTTTATTGATTTATTTGAAGTAATTATATACATATTTGATTTTTTTTTTTAGTTTAACATATTTATGACACATTTGTCTAATTATGGAAATGATAGACTTGCATTGTATACCTTTGAATCAGTTATCAAATTTGTTCGTTGTTGGACTAATTTACAATTGGCCACAGTACCTCCTCTCCATCTTGCTGAAAAATATTTTCAAATGTTTCCAGAAGAAACAGATCCAATTTGGATGGTAATTATTTTTGATTTTTTAATATTGATATAATTTCCATGAATACATTACTAAATTGTTATCATTTTTAAAGAATCCTTGCAATGATAAAAGACATCAAGCTATTTGGTCTGTAAGCAAATCATGTGAACAGCTACCAAAATTTTTAGTAATTGGTCCTCAAAAAACTGGTAAGTTAATTTTGTTATGTAGATATGCAAAAAATATTTTAATATATAAGTTTATTACCTTTTAAAAAAAATCTTGCTTTCCTAACTTATGTTTCTTTACAATACATGAGTTTTATAAATTGTGCAATATTTATTATATAATACAAATACTGTAACAACTCTGTTAAGTTCCAGGACTAATGTTTAATTTTAAATATAGTTATATTAAAATTCACAATCTCTCAATGTTCTTCAAAATAATCTCCGAGATGTTACATTTTCATCTGTCTTCTAAGGAGGAAGGATATGTAACAATCAAAAAAATTCTTTTATGTTTATGTCTAGAGTTACTGCTCAGCACATATCTCAACATGGTTTACTATGGCAATATGAGTGTAAGTCAGAAATCAGTTACAGGTCAATTTTTCATTAATGCATTTATTCTGGCATTATAGACACACTGTTGCCTTTGGGCTTCCAGGTGTTCTACAATACCTGCTGCATTTTGCTAGTTTTTCTGCAGTATGGCTGCCTGGGTGAATCATTCCCATGGTAATGAGATTTTTATACTGAGAATCAGGAATATATCCTGAGTTGGCAAGAACCAACTCCTTTGGGTACTCATCCCATAAGTGCATATCTTCTTTTCCTGATCTGGCAAATGGTTCAGTTCACCTGTTCCATGAGGTTGGAATTTGGGTGGAAGGAGTCATTAAGTATGATATGAACTGCGGATCATTACCAAAAACCAAGGTGGGCATATCCCATACAAGTTACCACTGCATTAGCATGTCTGTTCCTAGAGCTATATACAGTACATTAGGAGAAATAATGTATTTGGGAAGTTGAGATGCAAACTTTCTTTTTTAAAAAAGGGGGAAAAGTGTTCCTAAAAATGCATAAAAATATACATTAAACATGTAAAAATCAAGAAAATTCAAACCAAATCACTTTCAGAATCTGAATAGTTTTCTGTTTGTAAAGCATTGTACTTGCAAACACAGTCATTCTACATTCTTCACATTCAGCTGTAGACTGTGAGAGGAAAGTAAATTTTTGAATGTAAAAATGATCTCTGAATATCAACAAGTGTGAGAACAGCATATTTGGTTTTCACTAAAATTTTATGACTGAAGAGACTCAGGAATTTTATTTTGAATATCTGGATTTTGTTCATGAAGTATTCCAGTTTCTATAAAGCAGATCCATCCAACTGAGTTTTGGTATCTTTAAAAATCTGTCTACTGAGAAGCAGTGGGAGATGTCTTTCCTCAAGCTTGTAAACTGAACTGCACAGAACTTGTATGAATAAATAGTGTTGAGTTCCTTTAACAAGGCTTATTGTTTTAACAGATTCTTGAGTTTTAATATAGTAGATGACTTTTTATCCAGTTTATCAATGCCCCTGTAGATGAGATTTTCAACGTAAAAACAGTCTATTTGAATCCAAATGCTCCAACTGTACTGTACAACTAATAAAGGATTTTTTGGGAAGCCAAGTCTATCATTTAATATACTATTCATATGTCAGATGTATATTTTAATTATATGTATATTTTAATTATGTATATTTTAATTATGTATATTTTAATGTATATTTTAATTATGTATATTATTCATATGTCAGATGTATATTTTAACTTCTTTTAATTGTCTTGGTTAAATATTGTAATTGAAAATGAAGAGACAGAAATGATGCTATTGTAAACAATGATATACGAAAATAATATGAATGCTATAAAATAGGAACTTTTAAGAGGGGCAAAAATACCCAAAATGTGTATCCTTTAAATGAAAGTATCTTGTTGAGTGTATCTGCCAGAAAAAAACTACTCATTAAATATAACATTATTTTATAAATATTTATATTTTGGCAAATATACTGGTATATTAAAATTTCTAACTTTAAATTTATAAGAAGAATTGTATTTAATATATAGATAATCACAGTCAAAAAGGTCAGATGAACTATTGTGCCACATACTGCATAATTTGCACATACATTCAAATTATGTAGTACAGTATCTATGAAATTTAGCCTTCTAGTCAAATAGTTAATCCGGCCTTATCATTTGTAGTTAACCTTATTGAATTAATTCAATAAGGCTAACTACAACTAAAACTTATATTCATTCAATGAAAGATTAATTTTTTAGTTTATAAATATAATAATATATTTAAACCAATTATGAAAGATTATATAAATAACTTCATAGATGTAATTTTTTACAGGAACAACAGCATTATATACTTTTCTTTCAATGCATCCTGCCATTGTTAGTAATTATCCAAGTCCTGAAACTTTTGAAGAGGTCCAGTTTTTTAATGGCAGAAATTATTATAAAGGATTAGATTGGTAAGTGTTATGTTTAAGAAGTAAAACAGTAAAGCCATATTTGTGACAAGACTATGTCTCGGAGACTCACTACTAAGCAGGATCACTTTGACACTCATGGTGGGTCTCGTTCTCATTCTCCAATCTTTGGTATTGCTGGTTTTGAGTGCAATTGTTCAAACTTCGCTGGTCTCGGCAAGGTCGTCCACGATGCATTTTTGGTGAAATTAACCTATCTAATGTCAAAATTTCTCTTTGTTGCATGTCACCCCAGGGTGAATTTTTGTTCATGCCTAATGAAAATTTCCCATTTTTGAAAAAAAATAATTGTGTCTATTGTATCGTCCAAAATTATTTTTTTATTTTGCACAAACAAAATATATATATTATGAAATGTAAAAAGAAAAAAAAAAGATATTTTTGTAGTTAGTTTTAATATAAAATTATAATGACTACACCATCTAGTTTATCATCTAGTGACCTTGACTTGTTGACCTGCAATATCTCAGGTCAACCAGTCAAGGTCAGCACATTGTGACTAGAGATATGTCTGGAATAACACAGGACAGGTAAATGAGTTTTTTCAAAGATTCATTTGTCAAGATTCAATTTCACAACATTCACAAATCTCGCACTAGTGCCTGTTTGTAGAAAGAATGTCACCATTTTGTATTTTATTTTGACTCTGTTCTTGGTCCCCTGAGTACCTACAAGTCTGGTTTTTTTTATGAGTGCATGATTTGGGCACCTTAATACTCTGTGCCAAATTGCAACTCTTGACATGTACTCCTCCTTCATACCTCTAAGCTGGTAAGCCAGGATGGCACCACAATTTTATAAACAAGACATAGTCTTGTCAAAAATGACCTAAGAATTCAAAATGCCATAGTAAAATATAATTTTATGGATTTACTTTTAGGTATATGAATTTCTTCCCAGTTCCTAAAAATTCCACAGATAAATATTTATTTGAAAAAAGTGCCACATATTTTGATGGTGAACTTGTACCAATGAGAGCTTATGCTCTGTTACCTTATGCCAAACTGGTAACAATTTTAATAAGTCCTATTAAAAGAGCTTATTCCTGGTATCAGGTTAGTTATTTAAATTGAAAATCATAATTATTGTTGTTATAAACATTTCTTTATAACTATATTCTTTTTAAACAGCACATGAGAGCTCACAGGGACATTACTTCTCTGAACTATAGCTTTTATGAAGTTGTCACTGCTGGCGATCATTCCTCTAGAATGTTACGTGAATTAAGAAATCGATGTCTTAGTCCTGGAATGTATGCCCAGCATTTAGAACGTTGGTTAAATTACTATCCACCTGTACAGGTATGGTCACTTTATTCACTTTTTAAATACAGTCGACCCCCCTATAACACTAGATATGTTCCGGTTTTTATGAATCCATTTTCTACAAGTCCAGCCAATCACAGCCCAGCACATATACAGTTTACGGATTACGGCTGTTTGAAAGGTTTCTTCCATAAAATTAATCAATTCTAGACTAATTCGACTCAACATTTCCAAAATACGTGTAATTTTTTGGGAATAATCCATATAAACTATGCTATAAACAAAAAATTGTAGGATTACTTACCGAGTGTGCACCGTTCGACTGTGCCATTGCTTAAGCTTGTTTTCATCGTGGAGCTTGTCATTGAATGGCACTCGCGTGCTTCCTGATAAATTATTATTATTATTTTTTTTTTTTTGTGAAAAATTCGCTGAACTTTGGAGACATCATTAATATAAATTATTATTTAATGGCCATAAAAATTATAATGGTTTTTAGTAGGTCTGCTGCTTGTTTAAACTCAATGGTTTGTGCAGTATCCGCTATTGGTCTAGATTCGACCAATCCAGTGGCGACACGAGTTGGCGATGACGTTTTACCGAATTATAGGAGTTTTTTAAGCATGTTTGTACAAATACTGTCACAATTTTTTCACCGTGATGTAGGAATCTGAACTATAGGAACCCGTGTATTTGGGGGGTCAACTGTATATTAATTAAAACAAAAAAAAACACACACACACACAAATTTTGATTTTGTTTTGATTTAGAATAGATGAACAAAAATAATAAAATAATAAAATAATGAATTAATGTGATATTATTTTTAAATATAAATCATTAAAAAGTCTATCAGTAAGGCTATATTTATAATTATTTTAAAAAAAAATATTAAGGAGATTTTTGAATTGTTAATATATAAGTTGGTATTAATACATGTTTATGTGTATATATATATATATAATCTCAACATCCTGAAATCTGATGTATTCCTAACTCTTGCTGTAATTAATCATCCTGTTCTGGTCTAGTTCTTTTCTTTCAGAATGTTCAAAATTATTTAATAAATTATTATTATTATTAATTTAGATAAGAGATGATACCTATTGTCTACCTCTAGTATCTAATTATTAATTATAGCATAATAATAGCTCAATTAATTATGGCAAGATTTGGATTAGTAAGACATTTTTTTTTTTTGTAATTGATTATTTCATATTTTTTAAACATATGTTTTGTTTGTTTATTTTAGCTGATGATAATAGACGGTGAAGAACTGAAAGCTGATCCAATTTCTGTTTTAAATAATCTTCAACATTTTCTTAAAATTAAGCCATTCTATGATTACAGTGAGCATTTGAGGTAAGATAATATTTTTAAGCATAAATTATAGTAATGGTTATTTTTACAGAAGCTTATGTTTAAAGTTGACTCTTTATAACATAAATAACAGCATGCTTTGAAGAAATAATGTTTAAATTCCAAACAAAATTAACAAAAAAGAATTACAATCTTTACAAATTAAGTTTACAGATAATCCCATATTTTATCTTCTTAAATTTTTAGTATAACAATATTTATATGAATTAATCTGAAGATGGGATCTAAGGAGCTTCAAAAATACTTATGCAGTTTTTAAAATATGGCTTTTTTTAAAGGTTTACTAATTGAATTGTTGTTCTCCAAATAACAGATACAACATATTGAGATATTAATTACCTCAAAATAATTCCTTCAATTAAATTTTAAAATGTTTTTAATTTTGATAACTAAAATTTTTATTGTAATATTGTGAAGATTACAACAATATCTTGTTAATATCTTAAATCAGTCAAATGAAACAAATTTTACAAGTTCAGATTTTGACAAACATACAACAGTGGGAATTTATAGATCTACAATTTTCAAATTGCAGCCAAATTAATTAATTAATTTTGGTTTTAGTGTAAAGGTCAGAATTTTAATGATTATTTTTAGCAGTTGTAGCTAATTTTGGTATCTTACACTAATGTAATATTGTTTGTGACAGGCAATTTGCAAATTGTAATGCAATGTACAGTATTTACCTTACTGTTATTAAAATATTCCATATTTTTTCAATTTTAAAATAAAGTTAAAATAAATTAATCATAGTAATTTTTATATTTCTTACAGCTTAATATACACTGGTGCGCAAAACTTAATCAACCATTGTTTTTTTTGTCATGACTCCTCAAGAAATTACATGGGAGACATAAAATTCAGAATACAGAAACAGTATTTTGTACTTCAGAGGAAGAATACATACAGTATGGAATTAAAGACTTCTTTTAATTGTAGACTTGCACTGCAAATGCTGACTGCAGGCATTTTGCATGCCTTCATGTCAGCTGTGATGTCTTCTTCCTGCATACAAATTACCTTTCTATTGAAATGGGTGCTTGTTGTATTGATCACAACAAGCCCTTTTCTACAATTTCAGGCTATCTACTTAAAAATTACATTGTTGCTTAAGTTTTGTACACCAGTGTATTTTGGACTAATAAAAGCAACTAATGTCACTCTTTTATTAAATAAATTGTTGATTTTTTTTGGTGCATATAAATAATCTGTTATTACACCTCTGAAATGTTTTGATTTACCACAGGTAATTATTCTAAATTTTTTTGCCAGGGGTCCTATATATATACAGAACATAGCAAATATATATACAGATTGTTTTTATTATCCACATTTTCTGAAATGTTGTGTTTATAAAGTATTTATCCATCTTGATTGATTAAAAAAATGTGTTATGTTGTAATTGTTCAAGTGAAAGGCAAAAGTCTAAAGCATGACTACCATAGATAAAAATGTCTTACACTAGGATACTTTTGTAGCAAACAATTTCTTTGTTTGCTACAAAAGTATCCAACTTGTGTTTTTATTTGTTTATACTATGTTGGAATGGAGGCCCATCATAAAGTATATCTGTGTTATATATATATATAATACAGATATACTTTACTATATTTTACTATATACTTTATATATAACACAGATATACTAGCTGCAAGTACCCACTTTGCTGGGTTTTTATTTGTTCGTACATTTATAGGTAATATAGTTTTTTTTTTACATAAAAGAATGTTTATCTTCCTATACATAATCTTTCTCTGAATCAATGTGTTTCCCTATAATTTTCAAGTTGCTCTTCTGATTGATTATTTCTGTTTTGATGTGATTCGAGACCATAAAAATTCTTTCTTACATTTTGGCATTGATTTTTATATTTTTACTTTTTACTTTCTAACTTTTCCTGTTATTCATACACTTTTACTAATGAAAAATCAACTGAAGCATGTGCGTCACACGTCTCCAGAAGCCATCCCCACTACTCACACATAACGGTCCTTGACTCTTCCAAAACATTTAAGATTAAGATTACATTATAACCAATCTTACCCATTTTCACAGAATGCAAGAATTAGGTCCCACGTTTCCAGACTAATTAGAGAATTTTTACATGGGTCTAAAAATATGTTCGATTTCTTGCAAAAACACAAAAATCCACATCTGCGCCTGTAAATCTTGCACACTGCTCTCTCTTAACACTTCCATTGTTACACATTTTCAAAGTCAACCACTTTCAACCCCCATATCTCCCACACCCTTAGCTATCGAGACGTAATCACCATAGTGCACGATTGGAGACTTGGGGCTACTACCACACACAAACACCATTCATGTGCGATGTGTAGTTTTGGCTGCAGAGTGAAATATAGGGACAAACATGTCTATTTTTATATATAGATATATATGTAGGAATAATGATTGAGATAAGGAGCTAGAAATGACAAATGACAATAATCCAGCATTCGTGATACAAAGGTGAGAACATTATCATTCTAACATAATATAACATCTTTTTTTGTCCTTTCTTACTTTCATGTCGTCACCAACTGTTGTCTCTTACACTTCTCCCCTTACTCATCCCCTCTCCCTCGTCTCCCCTGCAACCTCTCGTAAATTTATTTTCTTAATGGTTTAGGAATGTTACTAGTCTAAACTCCACATTCGGACATTCTGACAGATGTCCTCGTCTGACCAGTCGAATACTTGTTAGTTGAACGGACCCACGCTTTCATGTTGTCCACAGACATAGACGTCTGCATTGGCCCTTCATGATCACCTACCTTCTCAGCTAAATATTTGTTATTTCTTATATTGTACGGCCCTAAGAACTTTGGATGGATTTTTAAGCTGGGCCCGTACTGCGTTTGCCTTACAGCTGCCAGATCATTGACTAAGAATTTGATGGGGATGTTTTCTTTTTTGTTAAACGTTTTCCTGTTCTCTGCTTGCAGTTTCTTAATTAATTTAATGTTCTCCTTTGTTGTTGCTCTAATTTCTGGAGATCTTCTAGACCAGGGGTGGTCCAACCCGTGGCCTAAGGCAAGTTCCAATGCGGCCCAATAAATGTGTAAACAAAAATAAATAATTTAAAAATTTGTTGGTTATTTATTTATTTAAAACAGCATAAACCTCAAAAAAGAATTTTTACAAAGCCGTAAACCTTTATACATGTTTTATTTTTTAATAGAAAGGAAATATTTTCAAATATTTGAAATGTGTGAATGAGGAAGGAATATTAAATAAAGCTGGAGTCGTGACTCAAAGGATTATAGCCCCAAATTCGAGGAAAGGTTGGAAAATTAAGGATCAATATTTGCATAACAGAAGGTCTATTTAACCTTTCTCACTTCTTTATTTTTTGACCTTTCTCTCCTTTTCCCGAATTTGGGTCTATAATCCTTTGAATCCCAACTCTAGTTTTATTTAATATTCCTTTCAGTGTTGCAAGATTTGTCTACTTTGCACCAAATTTAGGTACCCTTTTTTTAGTTTGGTGTAAAAAATATCATTTGGTGCATTGGCTACATTTTGGGCTACATATTATTTATAAATATATTAGTTGAATAAGAATGAACTTTAAAATGGTGTTTCGTTGTTGTTTTATTAATTAAAGACCCAAATAAAACAAATATTTGTTTTTTTCAAATAAATTTTTGTTTGACTCCTTTATCTATATATATAAAAATGATTGTATGTGTGTCCTTCATGCATTACCACACTGTTTATCCGATTGCCGTGAAACTTTGGGAAGTTGTTTAATATACTCCGGCAAAGGTTTGTGGCATAGTACGATTGCCATAAAACTTCGGAAAGTTGTTTAATACACTCCCGCGAAGGTTTTTGGCATAGTACATTTATCCTACGATAGATGGCGCGCGTTTACACGAGCATTCAAGCACAGTGTGTTCGATTGATTTCAAATTGTGAAGACCATTTCCCCCCTTCAAAAATATCTCTATATATGCATTTGTGAACTGTTATTTACGATACTTGTAATAATTTTTGTTTAATCACTTTATTTCAACTTTCTTTTTTGCTAATTATGTATTCGCTCAAACTTCTTTAAAACCTCAACTGTACCCCGAACAACAACTGAAGTTGTAGGAGGAAATTAGCATATTTTACAGATCTAGGTATCCCCCTTTTCCAAATTTTAATATTGACTCGAAATAATAATGTAATAATAATAAGTTTTAATAAAAATTATAAAATGTAAATTGAATTTTGTCATAACGAGTTTGCTTAAATTTCCTTTCTTCTGAGATCGCAGCAATGCGCGACGGGTAAGCTAGTAATAAATAAAATTATCTATTTCTAAGTAGAAATTAAAAGCGTCTGTAGAAGTAATTTTTTTTAAATATCCTTTTTCGTGATAAAGTTTGAATACTTATTACTATAATCTAGACATGTAAATCTTTAAATATATATTTGAAAATTGGGTCACAATATACTTGTGGCCCAGAACTCCATGACTTCTTCCAATGTGGCCCAGAGAAACAAAAAGGTTGGACACCCCTGTTCTAGACTGTCTTCAATATTTTGAATCACGTGATCGAGTATGATTGTCACATCATCTTTGATCAGGACTTCTTGATCTAGATCTAGACCATATTTATATCTTACTTTCATTTTTTCTCTTTCTCTATAATATCATCATCTATTATAATAAGATCTCTCTCTAGTATGTTTTCTATTTCTTGAGAATCTACTTTGTCTCATGTCATGTTTTCGATTATCCAATCTATGATAATTTTGTGTATGTGTTTCTCTTCTTCCTGTTGCTTTCTCTCTTATGAACAATTTCTTCACCTGCCAATTTTAATCTTGCATAACCAGCATACTGTTTTTTCATTGAATCATCATCAACACATTGCTGTGCATCACCAGTTATCAAAAAGGCACCACAAACTTCTGTTTCTTCTGAGCAACTGCAATTTCTGCTGTTTGCTTAATGTTTGATAAATGAAGTTGCTGTAACCACTGATTAGGTTCTGAAGATTTATGTAAAGCTTTTTTTTCTGCTTTTAACTGGTCACAGAGTTTCGTTATTCCTTGTGCTTTTTCTACTTTTCCTCCATCATCTGTGGGTTGTTCAGATGTTTCATGTAACCATTCTTCCATCTCCTTATTAACTTCAGCCTTCTCACTATCAGATAGCCATCTTGGATGTTGACAAACTGGAACATCAGTTTTTAAGATACAGTTCATTTTGATCCCTGTTTCTTATTTTTGTATTTGGCTGCTTTGTAGTTTTTTTTATTAGATCTAGAAACTCTCCTCTATATTTTGCATCATCTATATGGCTCAAGCCAACACCACTAGTGTCTACACAGGCAAGATCAATATTGTATATGTCTGAAATGTTTACTTCTGAATTTTTTGCTTTGATAATCTTCTCAATATGAACTTGTTTTAGAAAGTTTGCTCCCAATAACAACTGATAAGCAAGGAATGAACTAGGAACCACATGTATGGGGACTGAAAACTGGTCTCTGTCAACACTTACTACAGTCCAAAAACTTCCCAGTGTAGAACTCTTTCACTCACTTACTTAATGAAATTCCAATGAATCTCCAGTTAATTTTGGTGCACCCATCTTTACGGAATCATCTGCTCTCATCAAATTTATATCACTTCCTGAATCTATAAGTGCTGTGAAACTCACTTCATCTATTTTGACTTCTTTTACAGGCTTTGACTTAGCTTCTTTTCTCAACATTTTGTGGACATTGAGATGAAATATGGCAAAAATTGTTACAACTAAAACATTTCATTCCTTTGTCTTTCTCTGGACAACTTTTACTCATATGGTTTTTCATCTTCATAAGAATTATTAGGCTTAATCTCACATCCTAGCTTCTTAGATCCCACCATCATTTTAGCATTTGGCTTATGACTTGATTTCACGTTTTCATAAATTCACAGCTTTTGTCGAAATTCTTTGAAAGTAGTAGCACCATAATAAAGTACTGTCTTACTTACTTGCAAATCCTGAATTCCATCAATGATGTATTGTATTACCAATTCTTCCTCAATCGTAATTTATGACAAAATTTAAATCATCTGATACATATATTCCTGATAAGTTTCATTCTGATGCTTCACTTCCATCGAAAGTTGCTTGTGAATCTTTCTGCTATTCAGTTTTGGAGAAAATTCGGTGCAAAGGGCTTCTTTTAATGCTCGCCATGATTTAGTACATTGTTTATAGTTTACGTACATTCTTGCTGAACCTCTGAGTAGTTGTTTTGCGTAAATTATCTTCTGCATGCTATTCCAGTTACACGTTTCTGCCATGTCTTCGAAATTAGAGATCCACTTAACGACATTCTTTCCATCGTCACCATCCATTGTCTCTGGCATTCTCAACCAAAAGTGCAGCCTCCAATCTTTGCACCAACTCTCTCGTTACCCATAGTTTTCAATTTTTGTCGTTCTAGTTTGATTTTCAGATCAGCACACTTAAGATGTTTCACCTCCCTCATCATATTGTCCTTAGTTACAACAGTCAGTCATAGTTCTTCGTCATTCACCACAGCATCACTAATTCCGCCATCTTGTGTGGATTCCATTGCCTTTCTAAAAGTTGTCATATGAATTTCTCAATATCCCGGACAAGACCCCAAAATTTGTAGGAATAGTGAGTGAGATAGAGAACTAGAAATGACAATAATCCAGCATTCGTAACCATCTTGATAGAATTATAATGTTCTCGCCTTCATAACATAACGAAAGGTCTTTTTTGTCCTTTCTTACTTCTGCATTGTCACCAACTGTCATCTCTTACACTTCTCCCCTTACTTGTCCTTCTCTCTCTTGTTCTCCTTGTCTCTCCCAGCAACCCCTCGTAAATTTATTTTCTTAACAGTTTAGGAATGTTACTCGTCTAAAGCCCACATATATATGTGTATATTTGATATATATATTTTTTTTTTTTTTATATTAAAGTAATTACATTTATGATTATATTCTAAAACATGTTAGTTAACTGTCTTTATTCATAATAATAATTTTAACATTCCAAAATATGTTTGTTTAAAAATTAGTCATGAAATATTTCGTCACTTCTTTATGGTTTTTGAAAATTAAATTGAAGAAAACAAGGAGGTTTTTTGGCATTTTCTAATCTAATTTTGAATGGACAGAATATTTTTGTTGCCTAATAGGACTCAATTCAGTTGATCTGGAAATTGTTGTTAAGATTTCAGTTTTTTGTTTCAGAAAAACCAAAATTAACATGAACCACTTAAATGAAAATGCAGTTTCCCCCTCAAATTACCAGTAAAAGCTAAAATTTCAAATTTAGATTATATCCATTTAAGTTTACTTGAAAGATGAGAGACTAAGATTGTGATTAGTTAGTATGGGACAAACTTTTTCATAATTAATATTAAATACAAAAGCTTGATTCAGTTTTGTTAGAGATACATAGTGCCTTTTGCCTCAGGGTGGTAGATATATGTATGTATTATATATATATATAGTACATAAATTATTTCAGTTTCTAACTATCTTAGTAACAAATTACATATGCATTTTATGATAATTTGCTTTGTTTACATATATAATTATATAAGATTGATTTAGTTTGATCTATATTAATTCATTCAATTATTTAAAATTATTAGCTTAGGATATATTCTGTAAATTTTATCAGTTTTTTTAAATTTAATGACTTACTTATTTTCTTTTTGTTTGAAAGGTATGATCCAAGGAAAGGTTTCTTCTGTCAGGTGACTCATCGCAACAGCACAAAATGTCTGGGCCGCAGCAAAGGAAGACAATATCCTCCAATGGACCCAAGAGCCGAGAAGTTCCTAAAAGCATTCTATCTGTCACACAACGTTGCTCTCTCGAAATTATTAAATAGACTTCGTCAACCAATTCCCGCCTGGCTGGAAGATGATTTATCACACAGATGAAAAATAATAATATAAAATGCAATGTATATACAAATGCCCTTCGGATGGTTTGGCCACAAGTTATTTTGGGAAAACTTTTTAAGTTTAAGTTTGTCTTAAATGAACAGTGAGGATTCATAAATAGATGTATTGTATATTGAAATTATGTATATTCGGAGAGTACTCATATTACATATAAATTTATATATATATATATATATCTCTGAAGAAAATTGCCAGTATTTTGATCACATAATTAGTATACAGATATTTATTACTTCATTGGCAGCTCAAAATTATCATAAGAGTGCATCAAATTTCATTTATGATTGATTTAAAATATATTAAAAAGGATATAATTTTTCCATTTCTCTCGTTATTTTATTAAAAAAAAGGAATTATTGTTAATTTTTTTTTACTTGAATCAGTTCATTTGATCATTATCACATCACTGCATAGTCATTATAAAGGACCAATGTCAATAAATTTAAAAAAAATCAAAGCTTTTATATAGAAAATTATATTTTACAAATTAGATCTGTCGTCTATTTAAAACTGCAACAAATATTTGCAAGAAAAATTTCTTTTATAAACTTTCTATTGTAATAAGATAAAAAGAAGTTATATGTACACACCACACACACAAAAACACATAGTATGTTAATGTATATCTGTATATTTATTGTACATTACACAAATTTAATAGGCCATTGTTGAGAATTTGAAATGTTCTGTTTTCTTCTTTCATGTTTTTAGCAAAGATTTTTAAGAAAAATATGAAAATTTGCTTAGACAAATCTGTGGTAGAAATACATGTTATCTTTACTGTTTTAATTTATAAAAGCTCTATAAATATGTGTTGTTATATAGCGCTTTCAAAAATTCGAGAGGTCTCGGGTAAAAAATTTCGACCTTAAAACTATTCGGCGAGAGTTCGCTCGGGTAACAAACTAAAAAAAATTCCACCATGTAATGGTTTCTCAACCAGTATACTCTCAGAAATGTAATTTAATTATCGTGCCAATAATTTATATGTTTTGGTATTATTATGTTATGAGACAGCAATGCAGACGAGCAAATCGAGTTTGTAAAAAAAAACGACAAGAAAACCTTTAATATATTTTTGAATTAATTTTAGCAGTAAAAAAATGAAATCATATCAATAATGTTCTTCCAATAATATGTTGTATACCATTTTAACAGTGTCATTTACTAATATATATACATATAAATATATATAAATGCATAAAGGTGCTATTGTATGCTAGCATTTAATTTATATAAAGAAAAAAAAACAAAATGTCTTGTTTGGACAATGCAGTTGCAGATCTAAGAAATGGATTTCAAAGAACAAAATATCTAAATATTGCTTTCTGTGAAAGCTGTATTAGACTGTGAAAATAGAAAATATTCTGTCTGTCATTGACACAGAAATAAATATAATTAAAATAAAATGATTAGTCCATTTTATTTATTTTTAAAAAAACAGTACAGTTTTGAATCAATGTCTAATTAATTAATCTGCTTAAGAAAGAAAGAAAGTAAAAACTAACCAAAATCTATTGTTTTAAATCAAATTTCTCTACGTAAATATCCAATTTTTTTATATTAAATTTTACAAAAGATTTGTCAAATTAACAAACGGGAAAATCAAAATATTTTAGATATTTCAAAATAAATTCAGCTTCAATAGTACAATACACAAACAATAAGCTCGCAAGTTGAACGTTTGAATAATGTCTTTGACTGAAAACTATAGGGAAAAAAGTGTTTAATTTCCCTTTAAAAATGCATACGTACGTATTGTTTCGTACGAAAAATGTAAGAAACAATGTTGCCGTCTCATCCGCGATGGTCGATAAATAATAAAAATTCGACTAATCAATTAAACTTCCTGCATAATTAAACATAGAGAAAGCGAAAGATATCAAACCGATACGATTGTATAGGAACGAGTAAATAAAAACTTCCGCATTTTAATATCGATCCGAAGATTAAAAGATAAAAATCTTTTTCGTTTTCAATAAAGTCAATTGCACGACAACATGGAAGTCGATAAAAATGACCTCCAGATACGAGGAAGTTAACTCCGTTCTATCCATTCAGCCAATCGGTGTTTTAGGTCGAACACACGAATCCGTGACGTAAAAAACTCGAAAATAGGACATTGTATCGACGACTCGTTCGGGATGTCATGTCTTAAAACGTTAGTCTCAATAGAAAATAATGGAAAATCGCCCGTTTACGAATAGTTTACGTGGTGTTTTGTTTTGAAACACGCGAAACTTCATCTTGTCATGTTTGTGGTAGTCGAAGTATTAGCAATTGTTGCATTATTACATAGTGTTGCAGGTAAGTGGAGTTTTTTTTAATCGTCTTGCAAAATACCTCTACCGAAATAACCGCGTAAATCTTTGTTCATTTAACATTATTTTACATTAATCTAAGTTTTCTTCATCTTATTTAAGTAAAAATTTAGCTATTTCCTTACTTGCAATAAATTTTTCTACTGGGGGGAAAAACTACTTCTAATGTTAGCTATAACATAATTAAATCTTGTCTCACTGGTTCTTCTAGTCTACAACCTTGTACCGCATTCGTATTATTTACGTTTTTACATCTTTTGTACGCAATAAACGTATAGAAAATGCAGTCGAAAAAGTTAGAAAAATCAAAATTTTTAAAGTAGATTTCTAATAAAAAATAATAGACCTTCGCGTTCTGTTAAAGGAAGCTTACTTAATAAAATAACGAAAGAGGAAACATCCGGCCGAAATATAATTAAGCAAGTATTATAGCATTAATTAACGGGAGTTACTACATTTTTTTAAATGGTTTAATTGTGTTAATGATAAGAAATAAATATTGTAATCGGGGACGTGACTACTACAATTTAGTTCACGTCTTGGAGCGAGTGATGGATCGACGTTATTGTCTCCTTTCGCGAAAATTTACGAAAACGACGCGAAACACGGACGTAATGTCTTCGTAATTCCCTAATTTCTTGTTTTCGGTAGATAAAAATCTTTTTTTTCCCCTCCCCTACGTTCGGAAAAGTACCAGTGCAGAAACAAGCTCAAGGTCGACGAGTATACGAGGCTCCATACCATAAATTTTGTAGAGAAATTCATGGCAGATTTCAATTTCTATCGACTCGGTTGGCTTAATTACTTTATCGCTGCATTAATTACAAATTAAAGAACGTACTCGTTAGATTCAGTACGGCGCCGAGTAAATTTAGGTTATAGCTTCTTCGTTCGCATTAGTATTTAAGTCAATGTTCTAGGATATGGCTATTTTATGAAGAACAATGGTCAATTTAACTGGTAGGAAATTCAAATTTAGTATGATGACTTTAAGTTAAGCACGTATAATGCTAACTGTTAACATAATTTAGTTTAATAGAAGGAAGCTACTAGGTAAAAAATCATCATTAAATGTTACTTTATAAAAGAAAAGTATGCTATAGTCAATGATAATTAAGTTAAAGACGATTAAAATTCGGAAATTTATCATTTTAAGTTGTTACAGCCTTAAAAAAACCGCGCACAAAAGCAATAATTCATCATCGTTCCTCTTTCATCGACCATTCTGTTGAACAGTAATGACATTTAAAATCACGAGGTTTTGTGTAGTGTATTTGGGCGTAGTATTAAATATTAATTAAGTTTGTATTGCTTTTACCATTGTAAAGGGGATGATTATTTTCTGGTTTCGTTTTCATAAAAACTAGACACGTTAAGAAAATGCAAATTAAGTTCATTCTGCTTGATAAACTGGAGAGGTTACATGTTAAATTTTCCCACCCTCGGTAAACGTTGGCACTCCCATATTTTAAAAATCAAGTTTGGGAGTTTTCAAAATGTTTAAAGAAAAATGTGGAATGCGGAAGAAAGAGGCAGAGCTATTTTCTTTTTGTGTATGATTTCTTTTAAATATTCTACAAGATGAAATGATTAAACGTGATCTTTAATTAAAGACCCCGCTTTACGACCGCTGGCTTTTAAACTCCCTGCCCGCCCGCCCTCCCGTTAAAACCTCAATTATAATTACGAAAATTCTATAAAAATTAATTAACTGATATATTGTTAAAGCTTTATTTCCGGGAATAAGAACTCGATTTATATCGAGATATCAACGGCTCGATTTACGACGTCTCGTTTAACGACCAATCGAATTGGATTGACAAAAGTGGGTCCTGCCGTATAAGGAATTTCGTTAGAATAAATTTTAACGCGGAATACAATATCGAATTGATATATTTTAACGTGATTTAACGAAGCAAAGTGAATCGGTTTCGCAAATTTTCACGCGATAATTGCAGAAAATGTTACCTTTAACCTTTCGGAATCAGGAATCGTGCATGGCTGCATTTAATAGCTGACACCATTTACTATAAATAATCGAAAGAAAATTGAAGCATCTCTTTTTTTTATGTTATGTTTTGTTTTGTTTTTTTCCCCTGCAGAAGCAGTCATCGTTAAAACTACAAATGCTAACGAAAACGTTACTTCCACTCCACTTCGCCTTCGTTTACGATGGCCCGGAAAAAATTTCCGGACGTCGACGACGACGATCTCCTCCACATCGACCATACCAACCACCACCTCCGTGGCATCAAAATCAACGATACAAATTCAGGAGGAAAATGTTACTACAGGATCTGAAAATACGAAGGCAAATGCCGAAAACATCTCTTCCACGACTGAAAATTTGGTGAAATTAAACGAATTCGGTAGCGCGACCGAAAGTTCGCCATTTTCGTGGAATTATTCGACCGTCCCTTCTATATTTAGTAATTACTTCTTCAAAATTTTCCCAACCGAGACAATAGACAATAGCGAAAACAAATTTTCGATGTCGAAAGAAGATAACGTTACGACTACTTCTACTTCTACTTCTTCTTCTCCGGCGAATTTTTATCAGGAAGCAGAAACGACAGAAATCGTTAAAAAACAAACCAGTTCACCCGGCTACGAAATACCCGTCGTGGATTTCAGTTCGACAGAAAAAGTGGCCGACGTAAACTTATTTAATCCCTCTAAACCAAAGAATAAAGGTGAGGTTAAACCAGCAGGCAATGAACTGATGATCTACAGCGTCGAAGACGTTGTTTACCCACATTTTCATTTAAAAAAAAAAAAAAATTGATTCGTGAGTAGTAATTGGTTCGTTTAAATCCACAGATGACACGTCCAGTTCGACTAAAGAGGTGCACGTATCCTCTGGAGGGACTTACGTTTACGTGGTTGGAATCGTAGGCATCATCCCTACGGTTGGCGTATTTGTGTGGTGCATTAAGCACGTAATGTCGAGGCCACAAAAGGTATAAATAGAAATGGCATCAACTATAGATTCGATCGTGTAGCATATTTTAACGTTTTTTTAATTGCAGAATAAAGATATGACACCCAAAACAACCACGTATTCGACCGTCGATGTGCCAACTAACGAATCGCATGACGATGTTACTGCTATAGTAAGCAAGGATCAAACGCCAGATAAGGTAAGCTCGCGGCACACATTGCAACAGAAAGAAACGACGTTAAATAAATAAATAAAAGTAAATACAGGAACTACTCCATTATGGTGTCCTATTTTAAAAAGTATTATTCGGGTAAAATCTGTGCGAAAACAAAAATTATGGTTCCGTTTTCAAACAAAACCAGAAATAATTAACATCTGTAGAAGAAGGGGGGGAAAGTAGAGGAAAATAAATATATTTAAAAAGTAGTATTATAATAACAGGGTTTTTTAAGGTCATCGTGTGTAAATTAGGCCATTATCATCCCTCTCGGCTATGATTTTTCGTGTTGTTATTATCGATAATGATCTTTAGATGTCACTTGTAACATTTTCGGAGTTAATTTATCGTTTCTTCTTTGTTCCAGTACGATTATTCTTCCGTAGAAACGAACTGGAAAAGAATAAGTTTAGAGTATCCTAGACATAATTTAGACCTTTTAGAAATATTAGGCGAAGGTAATTTTGGAGTCGTGTGGAAAGCGGAGGCGGTAAATATATGCGAATCCAGGCATACCACTATTGTGGCTGTCAAGACTGTTAAAGGTCAGTTGCTTGTTAAATACGAGAATTTTTCTATACAAAAATTCTTTGTAAGTTAATTTAAATGGGAATTTTCAGAAAATGCACAGTATAAAGAAAGACAAGAGTTGTTGAGGGAATTGTCGATTATGCAAAGATTCGATCACCATCCAAACGTGGTGAAATTGCTCGGTTGTTGTACCGAAACTGGTAAAATTTTTATTTAAAAAATATTTTTTAAAGTTACTTTATTTAATTAAACGGATATATATATATATATTTTAAATTTAGAACCATACTTTTTAATAATGGAATTTGTTAAGAATGGAAAACTTCAGAGTTTTCTCAGAGAACATAGAAATAAAAGAAAGTATTATAACAGTAATGGCACCAGCCATAATTTAACATCGAGAGACCTGACAATGTTTGCGTATCAAGTAGCTCTTGGAATGGAATACATAAGCAGTGTTGGGGTAGGCAAACTAATTTTTTTCATAGGATAAATCACTATTCTTATTTTTCTTACATTATATATATGTATATATATGTTAGGTGATCCATAGAGATTTAGCAGCAAGAAATATTTTGGTGGATCATAACAATAATTGCAAAGTTGCCGATTTCGGACTTTCACGTTATTTCGAAGATGGAGATTGCAGCATATACGAACAGAAAACGAAGGTAAGATGCCGAAAATATTCAATAAAATTATCGGTATAACTATTATTTTGACACGAGAAAATCTTTTAGGGTGCTTTACCCATACGTTGGATGGCTCCGGAGTCATTACATATGAGCGTGTTCACTACAAAAAGCGACGTTTGGGCATTTGGAATTCTTTTATGGGAGATTGTTACTTTAGGTAAAATAATATTTGATATTTAGAAAAGATATACTGTTTTAAAGATATAGTATATTTTTTTTAAAACATGCTTACGTTTTCTAGGATCAACTCCATATCCGGGAATGAGTGCCAGGGAAGTTATTCATCACGTGCAACGAGGTAATACTATGGAATGCCCCGACCATTGCCATCCGGAATTATACTCGGTTATGTGTGCCTGTTGGATTACGAATCCCAATTGTAGACCGACGTTTACCATCTTATGCAAGAGATTAGAAAATCTATTGCAAGTTCAAGCTGGATACGTGGATCTCGACCATTTTCCCGAAAATAATTATTATAACTTATATCAAAGTCCCGGAGAAAAAGTGTGAACTGTTTTATAACCAAGACCAAAGATGAAATTCTTATAAAAAAAAAAAACATATCTTTGATTGGAAGATCAAACTGTCTATTTATTGGTTGGCATTTTAAATCACCGTGCAACAAAGATTCATACAAAGAAATATATATATATATAGTTATGTTATTCAAGATTAAAATATTGTAAAAGATATAAAATACGATTTTAATCACCAAGAAGAATAAGAAAATTAAAATATGGATGCCGGTGATACTTTAATATTAAATTTAAACGGCGAACAACCCGAAGAAAATATACAAAAACAGTTTACGTCCTGGAATTAAGGGTTTTTCCCCGTGTACTTTTATCATCAGATGAGCAAATTTACTATTTTATATAAATTATTATTATGATTATTAATTGTAAATATTTTGTAATTGATAAAAAAATGACACACGAAATAATCGAGTGTGCAATTTTATACAAAATCCAATGTAAATTGTTATTTTGATATAAATAGAAACAAAATATTTTGTTTGTATTTTAAGAATATAAATCACGTTGTCCATAAAAATCGTTCCCTGTCATAACACCTACAAAGATAATACAGTATTTAACTGCCTTATTGATGCACTATAACAAATGATCGGCCACGTGTAATCTTTTTAAAATTAGTAGAGCCTGAGGGAGGCAAAATGAGGCGGAGGCAGTCACCCATCCCTGTTCAAAAGCCATAGAAACGTATGAATAAAAACAGATTTTAAATCCAATTATATAAAAAAAAAACTTTTAATTTTGTTATAAAGAAGTGGTTTAAAAACTAACTTTTGGACTCCTACTGTGTCTAGGACAAGGACAGTCCTCCCCCTTCCCCTCCAGGCTCTATGCAAACCTAACAATTAGTGTCGAGTTATCTCACTAATTCATAGAATATTAATGAAAATAGGTTAATTAATTTTATGAGAAAATCATCCCATAAAATGAGGGGGGGAGAGGAGTTCTTAACACGCGTGTACTCGTAGTAAATTGAAAATTTTAAGTCTAGATTATTGTATGGATTAAATTGATTGTAGATGACTAATAGGATTTTATCGTCATCAGATTAAAAATAATAATAATAATAGAAATTTATTCCATCGCGTATTCATCCTTTGTTCATTATGATAAGCGAATTTCGATATATTGTTAGGTTAAAATTAATTACCATTGTAATAAGCGGAATATAGGTTTATTTATGGAAGAAACAAAAAGATATCTATGAATTTAGAACCTAATTTATTTATTTATTTATTTATTCTATTGTTAAAAGAATAGGAATAAAAACGCGCTAAAAATATCTACTCCTTGGAATTTAGGCTAACTTTAAAATTAAACAAATATTATTACATATAAAAACAATTAATAAATGAATAATTGAATGTATTTCCGGAATGTAAAAACACGGAGGAAGACCTAAAAGAATGATAAAATAGAACAATAATAATATCTCTATTATTATTTTGAATCGAATTGTTTATAAAGTTTCGCATGTTCAAAAGTGATTTTTCTTACGGGGAATTAATAATGAAATTTTAAATTAGCCATTATAAAACAGGAAGTACAGTATAAAACTGGAGTTTCTATTCATCTTTTTTTACTCGTTTAAAATATGCAATCCATCTTATTTTTTAAATTTCGATTACTTTTTGCCTCTCCTACTTGGTCGTTTCTAGATATTTTATGACCCCCCTTTTTGTTTCTTTCAAATTTTCTGAGGAAACTACCAATAATTGCGGAAAATATTTCATATAAAATGTCGTGTTACTATCGAAAAATGTTTTCAAATAATATTCACTTTAAAATATTTAATAATTTATTTTTTTAATCTATTAGTCTTTCTTATTCCCAAGAATATTCATGCATACAAAGTCTTATTATCGTTCTTTTATCGGTAAGAACCGGACTCTATCCTTGCTTGAGCAGACTTTCACCTCGGTTGATCGCTTTAATATTCTCCAAACGACGACAACAAAATGTACAATAATCGTACTAAAGTAGTAATTAATAAACTATAAAATGCAGAAAAACATATACAATAATATATAATTATAATAAAATGTAAACGAATTATACTAAAATGATGATTGTTCTCCCTGGGATATGTCATTCACAACTGATATTGTGTTTATTAATGAGATATAGATTAAAGTTGAGCCAGAAAAAGTTAGGAACAGGTTAGAGTGGGGGGATTAAAAGTCAGTAGAAAATTTAGCTCTTGGATTTCAGATATAAGATAGAGAAAATAAAGAAGGAATTAGACTTCAGGATGAGTTACAAAGTGTAAAATCGGACAATCCAACAATTTAAGGTCATATTTACAGGCAAATAATGGCTTAGAGGTAATTAGAGGATGGTGAGTTAGACGTTGACAAATAGAATAGGTAAATATAGGATGGCAAGAATTTAAACAGTATTATTAAATATTGACAGTGATAGCGATGGCAGAGTCTAGAAGAAAAACACGTTACTGGTGTTTTAGTTTTATATATATAAGCCAATATAAACGAAGGACATATGTCAGTTGACCATCAATAAATCTCCATTCGTATTATACTTTCGATAGTGTAGAATATTATATAAATTACCAAAATATGTAGAGCAAATGTGAGTGTCATAAGAAAGTATAATTTCTTATGCTAAAAATACAAAACTATTTCATTCCAAATACTATTTCTCACTATACTGAATCGAGTAAAATTGTATAGCACACTTTACGTAGTATTAAAGTTAATAAATTATCTTAAAAAATACGTAGTTTGTCTTTATCTGGATTAAATTTCTATGGCTATTTAAATGTATCATAGGTTAAGCTATGGTTTTCCTATTATAATTATATCACAATATGTAACAATATAACAGTTTTAAATAGATTTCTATTTAAAACCTAAATACATTAATTAATAAATCGAATTAATTAAATAGATTGCAGATGAGGATGTGAATAAATTAAATTATTTTCGATTTATATTATTCACATCCTCATCTGCAATTTCAAATGATNATTGTTTTAAATCAAATTTCTCTACGTAAATATCCAATTTTTTTATATTAAATTTTACAAAAGATTTGTCAAATTAACAAACGGGAAAATCAAAATATTTTAGATATTTCAAAATAAATTCAGCTTCAATAGTACAATACACAAACAATAAGCTCGCAAGTTGAACGTTTGAATAATGTCTTTGACTGAAAACTATAGGGAAAAAAGTGTTTAATTTCCCTTTAAAAATGCATACGTACGTATTGTTTCGTACGAAAAATGTAAGAAACAATGTTGCCGTCTCATCCGCGATGGTCGATAAATAATAAAAATTCGACTAATCAATTAAACTTCCTGCATAATTAAACATAGAGAAAGCGAAAGATATCAAACCGATACGATTGTATAGGAACGAGTAAATAAAAACTTCCGCATTTTAATATCGATCCGAAGATTAAAAGATAAAAATCTTTTTCGTTTTCAATAAAGTCAATTGCACGACAACATGGAAGTCGATAAAAATGACCTCCAGATACGAGGAAGTTAACTCCGTTCTATCCATTCAGCCAATCGGTGTTTTAGGTCGAACACACGAATCCGTGACGTAAAAAACTCGAAAATAGGACATTGTATCGACGACTCGTTCGGGATGTCATGTCTTAAAACGTTAGTCTCAATAGAAAATAATGGAAAATCGCCCGTTTACGAATAGTTTACGTGGTGTTTTGTTTTGAAACACGCGAAACTTCATCTTGTCATGTTTGTGGTAGTCGAAGTATTAGCAATTGTTGCATTATTACATAGTGTTGCAGGTAAGTGGAGTTTTTTTTAATCGTCTTGCAAAATACCTCTACCGAAATAACCGCGTAAATCTTTGTTCATTTAACATTATTTTACATTAATCTAAGTTTTCTTCATCTTATTTAAGTAAAAATTTAGCTATTTCCTTACTTGCAATAAATTTTTCTACTGGGGGGAAAAACTACTTCTAATGTTAGCTATAACATAATTAAATCTTGTCTCACTGGTTCTTCTAGTCTACAACCTTGTACCGCATTCGTATTATTTACGTTTTTACATCTTTTGTACGCAATAAACGTATAGAAAATGCAGTCGAAAAAGTTAGAAAAATCAAAATTTTTAAAGTAGATTTCTAATAAAAAATAATAGACCTTCGCGTTCTGTTAAAGGAAGCTTACTTAATAAAATAACGAAAGAGGAAACATCCGGCCGAAATATAATTAAGCAAGTATTATAGCATTAATTAACGGGAGTTACTACATTTTTTTAAATGGTTTAATTGTGTTAATGATAAGAAATAAATATTGTAATCGGGGACGTGACTACTACAATTTAGTTCACGTCTTGGAGCGAGTGATGGATCGACGTTATTGTCTCCTTTCGCGAAAATTTACGAAAACGACGCGAAACACGGACATAATGTCTTCGTAATTCCCTAATTTCTTGTTTTCGGTAGATAAAAATCTTTTTTTTCCCCTCCCCTACGTTCGGAAAAGTACCAGTGCAGAAACAAGCTCAAGGTCGACGAGTATACGAGGCTCCATACCATAAATTTTGTAGAGAAATTCATGGCAGATTTCAATTTCTATCGACTCGGTTGGCTTAATTACTTTATCGCTGCATTAATTACAAATTAAAGAACGTACTCGTTAGATTCAGTACGGCGCCGAGTAAATTTAGGTTATAGCTTCTTCGTTCGCATTAGTATTTAAGTCAATGTTCTAGGATATGGCTATTTTATGAAGAACAATGGTCAATTTAACTGGTAGGAAATTCAAATTTAGTATGATGACTTTAAGTTAAGCACGTATAATGCTAACTGTTAACATAATTTAGTTTAATAGAAGGAAGCTACTAGGTAAAAAATCATCATTAAATGTTACTTTATAAAAGAAAAGTATGCTATAGTCAATGATAATTAAGTTAAAGACGATTAAAATTCGGAAATTTATCATTTTAAGTTGTTACAGCCTTAAAAAAACCGCGCACAAAAGCAATAATTCATCATCGTTCCTCTTTCATCGACCATTCTGTTGAACAGTAATGACATTTAAAATCACGAGGTTTTGTGTAGTGTATTTGGGCGTAGTATTAAATATTAATTAAGTTTGTATTGCTTTTACCATTGTAAAGGGGATGATTATTTTCTGGTTTCGTTTTCATAAAAACTAGACACGTTAAGAAAATGCAAATTAAGTTCATTCTGCTTGATAAACTGGAGAGGTTACATGTTAAATTTTCCCACCCTCGGTAAACGTTGGCACTCCCATATTTTAAAAATCAAGTTTGGGAGTTTTCAAAATGTTTAAAGAAAAATGTGGAATGCGGAAGAAAGAGGCAGAGCTATTTTCTTTTTGTGTATGATTTCTTTTAAATATTCTACAAGATGAAATGATTAAACGTGATCTTTAATTAAAGACCCCGCTTTACGACCGCTGGCTTTTAAACTCCCTGCCCGCCCTCCCGTTAAAACCTCAATTATAATTACGAAAATTCTATAAAAATTAATTAACTGATATATTGTTAAAGCTTTATTTCCGGGAACTCGATTTATATCGAGATATCAACGGCTCGATTTACGACGTCTCGTTTAACGACCAATCGAATTGGATTGACAAAAGTGGGTCCTGCCGTATAAGGAATTTCGTTAGAATAAATTTTAACGCGGAATACAATATCGAATTGATATATTTTAACGTGATTTAACGAAGCAAAGTGAATCGGTTTCGCAAATTTTCACGCGATAATTGCAGAAAATGTTACCTTTAACCTTTCGGAATCAGGAATCGTGCATGGCTGCATTTAATAGCTGACACCATTTACTATAAATAATCGAAAGAAAATTGAAGCATCTCTTTTTTTTATGTTATGTTTTGTTTTGTTTTTTTCCCCTGCAGAAGCAGTCATCGTTAAAACTACAAATGCTAACGAAAACGTTACTTCCACTCCACTTCGCCTTCGTTTACGATGGCCCGGAAAAAATTTCCGGACGTCGACGACGACGATCTCCTCCACATCGACCATACCAACCACCACCTCCGTGGCATCAAAATCAACGATACAAATTCAGGAGGAAAATGTTACTACAGGATCTGAAAATACGAAGGCAAATGCCGAAAACATCTCTTCCACGACTGAAAATTTGGTGAAATTAAACGAATTCGGTAGCGCGACCGAAAGTTCGCCATTTTCGTGGAATTATTCGACCGTCCCTTCTATATTTAGTAATTACTTCTTCAAAATTTTCCCAACCGAGACAATAGACAATAGCGAAAACAAATTTTCGATGTCGAAAGAAGATAACGTTACGACTACTTCTACTTCTACTTCTTCTTCTCCGGCGAATTTTTATCAGGAAGCAGAAACGACAGAAATCGTTAAAAAACAAACCAGTTCACCCGGCTACGAAATACCCGTCGTGGATTTCAGTTCGACAGAAAAAGTGGCCGACGTAAACTTATTTAATCCCTCTAAACCAAAGAATAAAGGTGAGGTTAAACCAGCAGGCAATGAACTGATGATCTACAGCGTCGAAGACGTTGTTTACCCACATTTTCATTTAAAAAAAAAAAAAAATTGATTCGTGAGTAGTAATTGGTTCGTTTAAATCCACAGATGACACGTCCAGTTCGACTAAAGAGGTGCACGTATCCTCTGGAGGGACTTACGTTTACGTGGTTGGAATCGTAGGCATCATCCCTACGGTTGGCGTATTTGTGTGGTGCATTAAGCACGTAATGTCGAGGCCACAAAAGGTATAAATAGAAATGGCATCAACTATAGATTCGATCGTGTAGCATATTTTAACGTTTTTTTAATTGCAGAATAAAGATATGACACCCAAAACAACCACGTATTCGACCGTCGATGTGCCAACTAACGAATCGCATGACGATGTTACTGCTATAGTAAGCAAGGATCAAACGCCAGATAAGGTAAGCTCGCGGCACACATTGCAACAGAAAGAAACGACGTTAAATAAATAAAAAAAAGTAAATACAGGAACTACTCCATTATGGTGTCCTATTTTAAAAAGTATTATTCGGGTAAAATCTGTGCGAAAACAAAAATTATGGTTCCGTTTTCAAACAAAACCAGAAATAATTAACATCTGTAGAAGAAGGGGGGAAAGTAGAGGAAAATAAATATATTTAAAAAGTAGTATTATAATAACAGGGTTTTTTAAGGTCATCGTGTGTAAATTAGGCCATTATCATCCCTCTCGGCTATGATTTTTCGTGTTGTTATTATCGATAATGATCTTTAGATGTCACTTGTAACATTTTCGGAGTTAATTTATCGTTTCTTCTTTGTTCCAGTACGATTATTCTTCCGTAGAAACGAACTGGAAAAGAATAAGTTTAGAGTATCCTAGACATAATTTAGACCTTTTAGAAATATTAGGCGAAGGTAATTTTGGAGTCGTGTGGAAAGCGGAGGCGGTAAATATATGCGAATCCAGGCATACCACTATTGTGGCTGTCAAGACTGTTAAAGGTCAGTTGCTTGTTAAATACGAGAATTTTTCTATACAAAAATTCTTTGTAAGTTAATTTAAATGGGAATTTTCAGAAAATGCACAGTATAAAGAAAGACAAGAGTTGTTGAGGGAATTGTCGATTATGCAAAGATTCGATCACCATCCAAACGTGGTGAAATTGCTCGGTTGTTGTACCGAAACTGGTAAAATTTTTATTTAAAAAATATTTTTTAAAGTTACTTTATTTAATTAAACGGATATATATATATATATTTTAAATTTAGAACCATACTTTTTAATAATGGAATTTGTTAAGAATGGAAAACTTCAGAGTTTTCTCAGAGAACATAGAAATAAAAGAAAGTATTATAACAGTAATGGCACCAGCCATAATTTAACATCGAGAGACCTGACAATGTTTGCGTATCAAGTAGCTCTTGGAATGGAATACATAAGCAGTGTTGGGGTAGGCAAACTAATTTTTTTCATAGGATAAATCACTATTCTTATTTTTCTTACATTATATATATGTATATATATGTTAGGTGATCCATAGAGATTTAGCAGCAAGAAATATTTTGGTGGATCATAACAATAATTGCAAAGTTGCCGATTTCGGACTTTCACGTTATTTCGAAGATGGAGATTGCAGCATATACGAACAGAAAACGAAGGTAAGATGCCGAAAATATTCAATAAAATTATCGGTATAACTATTATTTTGACACGAGAAAATCTTTTAGGGTGCTTTACCCATACGTTGGATGGCTCCGGAGTCATTACATATGAGCGTGTTCACTACAAAAAGCGACGTTTGGGCATTTGGAATTCTTTTATGGGAGATTGTTACTTTAGGTAAAATAATATTTGATATTTAGAAAAGATATACTGTTTTAAAGATATAGTATATTTTTTTTAAAACATGCTTACGTTTTCTAGGATCAACTCCATATCCGGGAATGAGTGCCAGGGAAGTTATTCATCACGTGCAACGAGGTAATACTATGGAATGCCCCGACCATTGCCATCCGGAATTATACTCGGTTATGTGTGCCTGTTGGATTACGAATCCAAATTGTAGACCGACGTTTACCATCTTATGCAAGAGATTAGAAAATCTATTGCAAGTTCAAGCTGGATACGTGGATCTCGACCATTTTCCCGAAAATAATTATTATAACTTATATCAAAGTCCCGGAGAAAAAGTGTGAACTGTTTTATAACCAAGACCAAAGATGAAATTCTTATAAAAAAAAAAAACATATCTTTGATTGGAAGATCAAACTGTCTATTTATTGGTTGGCATTTTAAATCACCGTGCAACAAAGATTCATACAAAGAAATATATATATATATAGTTATGTTATTCAAGATTAAAATATTGTAAAAGATATAAAATACGATTTTAATCACCAAGAAGAATAAGAAAATTAAAATATGGATGCCGGTGATACTTTAATATTAAATTTAAACGGCGAACAACCCGAAGAAAATATACAAAAACAGTTTACGTCCTGGAATTAAGGGTTTTTCCCCGTGTACTTTTATCATCAGATGAGCAAATTTACTATTTTATATAAATTATTATTATGATTATTAATTGTAAATATTTTGTAATTGATAAAAAAATGACACACGAAATAATCGAGTGTGCAATTTTATACAAAATCCAATGTAAATTGTTATTTTGATATAAATAGAAACAAAATATTTTGTTTGTATTTTAAGAATATAAATCACGTTGTCCATAAAAATCGTTCCCTGTCATAACACCTACAAAGATAATACAGTATTTAACTGCCTTATTGATGCACTATAACAAATGATCGGCCACGTGTAATCTTTTTAAAATTAGTAGAGCCTGAGGGAGGCAAAATGAGGCGGAGGCAGTCACCCATCCCTGTTCAAAAGCCATAGAAACGTATGAATAAAAACAGATTTTAAATCCAATTATATAAAAAAAAAACTTTTAATTTTGTTATAAAGAAGTGGTTTAAAAACTAACTTTTGGACTCCTACTGTGTCTAGGACAAGGACAGTCCTCCCCCTTCCCCTCCAGGCTCTATGCAAACCTAACAATTAGTGTCGAGTTATCTCACTAATTCATAGAATATTAATGAAAATAGGTTAATTAATTTTATGAGAAAATCATCCCATAAAATGAGGGGGGGAGAGGAGTTCTTAACACGCGTGTACTCGTAGTAAATTGAAAATTTTAAGTCTAGATTATTGTATGGATTAAATTGATTGTAGATGACTAATAGGATTTTATCGTCATCAGATTAAAAATAATAATAATAATAGAAATTTATTCCATCGCGTATTCATCCTTTGTTCATTATGATAAGCGAATTTCGATATATTGTTAGGTTAAAATTAATTACCATTGTAATAAGCGGAATATAGGTTTATTTATGGAAGAAACAAAAAGATATCTATGAATTTAGAACCTAATTTATTTATTTATTTATTTATTCTATTGTTAAAAGAATAGGAATAAAAACGCGCTAAAAATATCTACTCCTTGGAATTTAGGCTAACTTTAAAATTAAACAAATATTATTACATATAAAAACAATTAATAAATGAATAATTGAATGTATTTCCGGAATGTAAAAACACGGAGGAAGACCTAAAAGAATGATAAAATAGAACAATAATAATATCTCTATTATTATTTTGAATCGAATTGTTTATAAAGTTTCGCATGTTCAAAAGTGATTTTTCTTACGGGGAATTAATAATGAAATTTTAAATTAGCCATTATAAAACAGGAAGTACAGTATAAAACTGGAGTTTCTATTCATCTTTTTTTACTCGTTTAAAATATGCAATCCATCTTATTTTTTAAATTTCGATTACTTTTTGCCTCTCCTACTTGGTCGTTTCTAGATATTTTATGACCCCCCTTTTTGTTTCTTTCAAATTTTCTGAGGAAACTACCAATAATTGCGGAAAATATTTCATATAAAATGTCGTGTTACTATCGAAAAATGTTTTCAAATAATATTCACTTTAAAATATTTAATAATTTATTTTTTTAATCTATTAGTCTTTCTTATTCCCAAGAATATTCATGCATACAAAGTCTTATTATCGTTCTTTTATCGGTAAGAACCGGACTCTATCCTTGCTTGAGCAGACTTTCACCTCGGTTGATCGCTTTAATATTCTCCAAACGACGACAACAAAATGTACAATAATCGTACTAAAGTAGTAATTAATAAACTATAAAATGCAGAAAAACATATACAATAATATATAATTATAATAAAATGTAAACGAATTATACTAAAATGATGATTGTTCTCCCTGGGATATGTCATTCACAACTGATATTGTGTTTATTAATGAGATATAGATTAAAGTTGAGCCAGAAAAAGTTAGGAACAGGTTAGAGTGGGGGGATTAAAAGTCAGTAGAAAATTTAGCTCTTGGATTTCAGATATAAGATAGAGAAAATAAAGAAGGAATTAGACTTCAGGATGAGTTACAAAGTGTAAAATCGGACAATCCAACAATTTAAGGTCATATTTACAGGCAAATAATGGCTTAGAGGTAATTAGAGGATGGTGAGTTAGACGTTGACAAATAGAATAGGTAAATATAGGATGGCAAGAATTTAAACAGTATTATTAAATATTGACAGTGATAGCGATGGCAGAGTCTAGAAGAAAAACACGTTACTGGTGTTTTAGTTTTATATATATAAGCCAATATAAACGAAGGACATATGTCAGTTGACCATCAATAAATCTCCATTCGTATTATACTTTCGATAGTGTAGAATATTATATAAATTACCAAAATATGTAGAGCAAATGNAAAGGCATTTTCCCTTCTGCATTAATTCATTATGCTTTTCCCAATTATATTGTCATAGATATACAATGAAAAATACAATATAGAAAAATGGAAATGCATGATTTATTAAACAGATACATTGTACAAATAGAAATTATACAGAAAACTTGAATACATATGAATACATAATTCTGAATTGAGATATTTAAAAATTTAATGAAAATTAATTTTAAAATATTAACAAAAGTATAGAGATATATTAAAAATTGTATTTTAAATTTAATTTATTCACATCCAAAAAGTAGTTGATGACGATAGTTGATATGCTAGTATTCTGCAAGTAGTTTTAAAATCTTAAATAGAATTCTATGATTTTGAAATTGAGAGAAATGACATATTCTGGTTTGTGTTAAGAAATGGTTGACAATATTTTTCTAATTTTTATACATAATATAAAACTAAGAAAGGTAATTACGAATAAGTTTTTTCTTGAAAAACTAGAAAAAAAAATTACAAAACTGCTTGAAAACAGCAAAACCAGTTGAATAAATCATCATCTTTCCGCCGCAAAGCGACTCTAGCGCCAGCTATCGGCTACCTGATACATTAACTCTAGTTTTATTTGTTTACATCAACGCAACACACGGGCAATCTGCCGAGGGTGTATACATCTCTGGAGGACTTTCGAAGGGAAACGTGTCCCTATTTAGGTGTTACAAACGTGAAGAAACCCGAAAAACTCCACGTGGCCAGGCGCGAACCCGCGACCAGCTGTCAGCGGTTTTATCCACTCGGGCTCTCGGCCACAGGAGCCTCTTCTATCTTTCCACCTCCTCGATCTTTAACCATCCCGTAAAGATCCCGTAATACCCAAATCTCCTTGCAAAATTTCTTAACCTTTTCTGTTTCACGTACCTCTTTTCCAAGTAATGAAGATCACGGACCCCTTCTCGGAATGAAGTTTTCAAATGCAGTTGGTCGCGTGGTTGTATTTCACCAACGAGCTGGCCACATGGAATTTTCTGGGTTTTTTTTCACGGTAATAACACTTAAATTGGGTCCAATTTCGCGTAGATAGTCCTCCCGGGAGACATCTCCTCGACAGATCGCGTTGCCATAACCAAATAAACCAATCCTCATCTCCCTTTTTATTTCTCTACTTATTTGAAGACCATCTTTCAAAGATCCTACACAAAAAAAATCTCCATTCTCTTTCTTTTTATTAGAAAATCAAAAAATCACCGAGAACGCCAAAACTAATTGCATGTAATAGAATAATGTGATTCACGAATATCCACTTTTATACATTTCTTAAACTTGTACATTTTGAATGTTACATTTTATGATATAGTTTCATTATTTAAAATAACTCGTAGAAATAAATTGAGAGTTGAAATTTTTGTCCTCCCTAAACCGGTAAAAATACATTTCTCTCGGTTTATGAGATTGAAAAATTCTTTAGAAAAGAAGTAAAATGAAATTAATATATACAGTACGAAGAAAGTTCATTTTTTTCAACAATTGATTATTTATTGTTAGCGCTCTTCGACAATACTTTTTGCTCTCGATTGTTATAGAAGTACTGTATACATTGTTGATTTTCTGCGTTAAGTTGCTAATTGATGGACTTCTTTCTAAGTCCTGACACCCGCGACGTATTCATTGCAATAGATCTTCATTGAAATCAAATCTAAAATATTTAGATATTACCTCATACAATGAGGAAATCGAGGCCGAAATGTGGATTTTAGACATCGAGTTGGACCAAAATAAAAACTCTATCCGAACCACTTTACAATCCACGAGAGAAGACAGCTCTATTTATCCTTTCTCCGAAAGCCCGCATAGGGCGAAGACAGAAAACACCAAAGGATAAAGAAGACAATCAAAGAAGCATTTATAAAATACTGAAAAATTCTAAGTACCAAATTTTACTTTCTAACCGTTTGGACTTTGAGCTTATTATTAATTCATCTCGATTATATTATAAGAATACAAATTATAAAAATACATTGTCATATTTACAACTGCCTTTTAAATTCACAATTATCATAGTGATGTCTTACAAGCTTAATAATTTCAAGATCATCACTTTCTTAGCCTTAGAAACACTAAATACAATTTACCAAATATGACTATTTTTATAATTAAAATATTATAAATGTAAAGTGATGGATATTTACTCACAATAAACACTTCATTTGAACCAGCTGAAACACCAGACTAATATTACGCACTACCACACTCGAGTTCTGTGGCTAATTTGTATATTCATACACTTCAAGCGTCATCTATTATTACGTCATTTTTTATTATTCATTATTACGTTAATTATTAATCTAATTTTAATTAAATTAATTGCATCTAATTTTATTCCTAAATTGTCATTAATTCTTTTTTTTTCTGATTTAACTTTTAAAATTTTTGAGGCCACAATTATCTATACACATTATTTCAATTCAAAAATCCCCCCCCCGAACGGAGTTAATTAGATGACCGGGGGGGGGGCGAGTTTATTGCTAACAGGAAAA